CTGGGGGGTGGGGGTGGGGGGGGGTGGGGTGTGGGGGTGGTGGTGTGTGGGGGGCCGGGCGCTCGGGGGGGAGGGGTGGGCCGGCGAACTGTTGGGGGGGGGGGGGGGGGGGGGGGGGGGGGAATGCCGTTGGCTTTGGCATACAAAGTAGTGTGGCAGCCGGCCTTGAATTGTTATAACTTTACAGTAAGAGTACGAGCATGTGTGTGCGTGGGGGGGACACACACAGAACTCGCAAATAAAACTTCATTGTCGCATTTTTTTCCCCTTCTGTTATTCTTCTACTTTCTTCATTCACTGCTTTTGTATTTATTTTCCTTTGCTATTATAAATTGTAAAGACTCAGCAAGTCCGAAAGTGCCAGCCAAGGTGAATTATGTACAAGGTGACGTCTTCACCACGGGGAGTCACCGCTAGCGCTTGCCTCTCTGTGCGTGGTGAATAAGCTAGCGGACAACGTCACCTTGTTCGTTATTTCACCATGGTGCGTGCCTTCTGTGTATCTTCTTCGGGTGTGTGTGTGTGTGTTTTGTCCGTGCTTTTCCAATTGTCTGCAAGCTCAAGCCATTTCTTTTCCCCGACTTACTTTTTTCATTGTTATTCGAATTTATGATCATTGCTCCGTAAATTATTGTGTGTTTGGATTGGAAAGTAAGGGCCGTAAATTTTCTCTGAAGTTTGGAGTTCATTTTGCAAGAAATGTGCGAGAAGACGTATGTACATACTTACATACATGTATGTACAGATGTAATAATGTGAGTTTTATTAATTTAAATATAAATTAATTGCAACACGCATTTTTTTTGTTACTCTGCACAAAAGCAAGAACGACCGTTGGCCACTTCAGTTTCAGTGCGTGCCGCTGATTTATGCAGCCCATACAGCAGCTCGTACCCGTGTAAGTTGACGGAACAAATGGAAAGAGGCGTAGAAGCGGCACTTGCACACATGCTCGACCAGCGCAGTGGCCACCATGATTAAGCGATTTCGGCGCCATTGTTTTAGTCGGTTAAAGTTCGGTTCGGAGCTTCGGAGCTTCGGAGCTTCCTTTCTCCTCTCTCCTCTTCCCCCCATTAGCCCATTTACCCCAGTATCCATAATTTGCTTTTTGCATCATTTTGTCATGCTTGTGGCCTACGCCTTCCAGCCGCGCCTTTGTCTTTCTGTCAGCATTGATAAATGTCAGCCAAGCGGCGATGCTGGGGCGAGTTTGTTTGCTTGTTTGTTTGTGTAGCTCTTGCTCTGCCTTTTGCTCTGCCTTTTGCTATGTGCCAGTTCTTGTCTGAGCTTCCCTTTGGTGCCTTTTGCTGTCTCTCTGGCAGTGTGCGTGTTCGCTTTATAATTTTACGCAACATCCGCTTGCAGTTGGGAAACAGGCTTTATGGTTTGGATTCACAACTTGCACTTGAAAATTGGGTCGAAATTTATGCACTCGTTGCGGTTACGCCACACAAAGTAGGAAAACAGCTGAGAACTGAGAGCGCTCTCTCTCTCTCTCTCTCTCTCTGCTCAAACTCCTGCAGGCGGATAGATTTATGGGGAAAAGTTTTTGGGCAATGCACTTCAGATTAATCAGCAAATTGTATTCCAGTCTAATTTATGGCGAGGCTCTCTTAAGAGTTCAACCCACAAAAAATTCCATGACCAAAACTTCTGCCATTCTCGCTTGCATTTTTCCCTAAACCAATCCGTAATGTCCTGCAGTTTCTGGTAGGTTTTCGTATTATTGCAACACTTGAATTATAGTTATGAACTTGGCTGTAATAAATAGAGAACTTTATCGTTCCTTCGACACGACTTTAACTTGAAAAGAAAGCTTTGAACTGGGAATTAAATGATTTGATCAGGATTAGAATTTATCCCCCCGAAATTATCAACTGCGCAGTTCTTTTTTACGTTAAGAGCTCGCTAATGGGACACATTTTTACAAGGTTCCGGGAAATCTTTTCCATCAAAGTGTTTTCATTTTCTTGTATGCCGAAAGAGTCTTTTGTTGGCCTCAGGTATCGGCTTACCAATTAAGCATACTTCAGAGCTAGATTACGTTTTGCATTCGGGCGTAACACACACACATTAATTAGCTACTCACGCAATTGACAACGGGCGGCAGGAGGGAGGCCGAAATGGCGACACCAATCAGCGGGCCCGCCGAGCCTTGCAGCAAGGCCACAGCCACGCCAGTGCCAGATGTTAACGCCCATAGAACGCCCATCCACAAGGCGCGCACATTGCCCCTGTGTATTGGAAAAGAGGGAAATTATTATTGAAAAAGTCAACTGCAAACTGGCAAATGGAAAAGTCACAAAACGAATTATGAAAATTAATTAAGAGTACAACAGAAGGCAAATGACAAATGTCCACCCTCCCCACTAAATGTTTCCATTGTCGGATGCGGCGCTGGGGCGGGGTGTGGCGCAAACTGGTAACTGTAAATTAAGTCACATTAAGACGAATGTTTGGCCAACAACCGACGATTGTCGCTGACACTGCTGCTTATCCGACTCGCGCCGCTCTCCTGGCATGGGTCATGGCTCTCTCTCTCTCTCTCTCTCTCTCTCTCTCTCTGTTGCCAGGTGGCGCTGACTTTTTTGCTCATTCCACGAAGATTTTCTGACACTCGCGCAAGTTTGTCAAGTGTCAGCGGCTTTGTTATCACTTCCGACAAGCAACCTGGGCGCCCGGGGCTCGTCGAGTCAGAAGTCACAGTTATTTAATGGCGAAAAATGTTGCAAAACTTTTCATTGCGACGTTTTCTAACACTCTTTCTGGGGGGCATAGCCTTGATGCAAAAAGAAAGGAAGTTACACTTGTCCTTCTTGTATAACCAGTTCAAATGTTTTGTCTCTGATATGTACTGATAGTTACGCGTATAATACTCCAACCGAAAAGGGTATCCTAAGTTATGCTCCGCCTTGCTTGGCTTTGATTCATTCGCCTCATTTGAACTCCTGCCTGGCCCATGTATATGAAAATTGTGCATATTTTTTATAGCTCGGAGCAACTTTTCTTGATTAATGGCGCTTTAACTTTTTCGCTTTGTTGCGCCCTCCTAGGTGTGAGTTTAATTTATGAATGTTAGAGTTGAAACTTTTTATTCCAAAAATCACTTTATTACACGGCGGCAATTTACGCTCAATTATGGTCCAAAAACATTTGGTTAGGCCTACAAATTGCTAATGGCTGAAACTCGTAATGCAAATGAGTGCGAATTAGGGCTTGAATTGCCTCAACTTTGCTCGAGTCGCGTGTTGAAACATTTTAGAAATAGCGCTGCTAAAATTTAGCCAACTTTCTCGTCTCTCTGTTCGTGTCATTAAATGGTGAATAAAACTAAAAAGTACTAAAACATAAGCTGCTGTTAGTTCTGTTTCAAGTTAACCACAGAAATGCAGAAGCAAAACATTTGTTCAATATCTTACACTGCACTAAACCTGCTTTTGACCCTTTGGCCAAAATTATTCTGCAAAATATTTACTCCAACTCGAACTTTCTGTTAACGTCAGCCACTTAATAAAAGGGAATACTTTGCGCTCCTAACTCATGCATTTTTGTGTGTACTTTATCAATGAGTAGCTGACCAATCCCATCGTCTGTGCCACGTGCCACAATTACTGAGTTGAGTGCACGCCAACAATGGATCGGCCAAGGAATGACCAGAGGAAAATTCACGCTGATGGCATGCTCCGGATAGGCACACGCAAGAATCTGCAAGAATTCACTGGGAGTGTGTGGTGCTATTATTATGATGGAGATGTGGATAGTCATGGGACCCAAGCCCAAGCCCAAGCCCACACACTTAATTATACAGATATCTGTGTATCTGCTGGGCACATTTAGATGTCAGAGACCCGACGCAGCGTCTCTCGCATTGTGTATTATTGTTTTAACAATTTATTTTGTGCAATTAACACAATTGCCGACACACATTCACTCATTTCACGCAACTTCCGGCAAATTCTGTGGCTGAGCTTAATTTATTGCCGTTGCTGCCGTTTCCATTACGGGGCGTGTGCGTCCCGTCCCCTAAGCCTGTTGTTGGAACAGATTTACACAGACGGCGCGCGTGGCAGCCTAAAGATTCCTTCGACAAAAAACGATGCCATAATAAATGTGTGCTCATACACTAGACACTCGCAGAGAGTAAAGTGGGGAAAGGAAATCCCTTTTAACGAGCAACGCGGGCCCATGGATTATTTGACTTATTTCCAAGTAATTTGTTAGATTCTCACCCATGGATTCAGCCATGAATTAAAGTAGTAGCAGAAATCTGTGCCTCATGCGCCACTGGATAATTAACATACTTAATGGATTTTGAATACTTTTCTGCAAACTCCGAAGTCACTTTGCAACTGTTGGAACTGTGGGGACTTGAATGACTCGTGATAATTAGTCTTAATTAATATTCCTAATGGTTTTTCCCTACACTGCAGCTAGAAAGATACTCTTCACATCAGACTTTTATGAGAAAATATTCCTTTGAGCGGCATATTTGCGAGTTCAAAGATATGAGCACAAATATCTGCAAATCATGAATATCTCTTAATTAAATTCGACATCAAAACGAAATTGGAATTTGAATTGAAGCATTGTGCGCCGCAAGTGCAGAAAATGTCATTCTGATTTGATTATGCCGAGTCCATCGGTGACCAAATACCCGGAATTAATTTATTGCTCATGGCTGGAATTGTTGCCGCCGAACGTGAGGTATTTTCGACAATCTAACGTAATTGTTCGGCTTGATTGGGCATGATTTGGGGCTTGCTTACCTGCCACGCATTTCCTCCGTGGGCCAGTCCGAATTCTGGCCCCAGGGCATTTCGGTGGTGCCCAGAATCAGACCGAAAATGAAGCCAAAAAGCAGCGAGATGAACATGCCCAGCACAAGGCTGAGAAAGCCAACGCGCTGAAACGACAGAGGGGAGAGCACAGAGGGGTGAGTTACACTAACTTAAACGCCAAAAGATGCCAGAGGGAGAGGGGGAGCGACACTTTAAGCGATAATATTGCATAGTTTGAAGCGCCAAGAAGCGGCGACTAGATTCGTGACATGTTAACCCAAATTTTCAGGCACACAACTACAGCTGCAAAACTGTTCTTGGCAGCTGCACACACAAAAGAAAAATGCCCTAATGTCAGCCACATGATGTCGTCTTAGTATGCCAAAGCAACTACCAGGCCCTGCACTCCGTCCCCTCTCATTCGCTAGTCAAACACAACTGTGACGCATATAAAGTAACTGCTCCGGAGCAGAGGCTTCCGCCACCGAGGAACTAACAAGATGGAAAAATGTTCAACACAAGGGGGCAGTGGCCTCACAACAAACCTTCCAGCTAATGCACTTTAAACTGTTGCCACAACAATTTAACAAACTCCAAATTAAAGTTGGGTGTGAAAACTTTGACTAGTTTCCGCTGTACTTGCAGGTAGACAGAATGCACTCTAAGCTGCGTTTTCAGCATTAAACGACATGCAAATGCTTACAAACATTTCAATTTAATATCATTGGACCATGAAAATATGATCAGGTCCGTTCAAGTTTTGTCTGCTACAATTATTTTTAATAGCTGCCATCAATTTGGGCACTTTTTCATGGCCTGAAATGGTCAGTTTTGTGTGAAATATTTGTAATAGTCAGTGTCCATTTCATATTTAGTCATGGTTGTACATGGGGATAGCATACTTTTTTGGGCAAAAATGGGCCAAAAGTATAGCATACTTTTGCGGCGCTTCAAGTTTCGCGCTTTAAGCACCAACTGAGTTATGTCAAAGATTATGATGCCGCAACTTGAGCTACTTCATGAAAGGAAGGCGGCCAAAAGGATGCATACAGACAGACAGTCAGACATGTGTGTGTGTGTGTGTGTGTATTCATTTCAATTAAATTTTAATTGAAGTACGCAGATGTCAACACCCGCAAGACACACCTGGCTATGGCTATGGCTGTACATGTTTTGGCTGAGTGTTCTGGCAAAAATTGTGTCAGCAGACAGCTAGTGGGTGCTCTGGGGGCAGGCACAGTCCAAGGTAGGTCCATGCCAGCTCATTCACCTCTTCATTAGAAGTGGAAGCCGACGAATATATGCTCGTATTTAGCACATTATTTGTTCTATTTGGATTTTTATTTAAACTGTCCATTATTTCACTGCTTTTATGTGGCCTGTGGCCTGTGGCCTGTGGCCTTAAGCCTCGTCTTTGAATTTTCATGAAGCAAAAGCGTCGCCAAGTTCTGTTCGTGACCATTCGGACACTTTTAAGAACAGCCGAGGTTCTCCCTTAGATTTCATTTACAGTGACTTGGAGGTTGCCCTTAGATTGTAAGAAGCTTTGCTTAGCTTATACAAAAGAAAGCAAACAGAGTTATTATTTGTCTGCAGCTCGAGGCTAATTCTCGACAAGAAGAGAAAATATTATTTTGCAAGTTGCTTTCACCTTGCCACATCCACACATGTCGAAAGCATCGAGAATCCACTTTATTGCACTTGTTATAGCTCCATCAAAGTATCGCAAAACATCGACCTTGTCCATAAACAAATCTACAAATATTTCCATTTGCCGCAAGAGCGCAAATCGAACCCAAATACTTGTACGTAGAGCACACAGTGGCATTTCTGTTGGTTGTGTGTGAATTTTGACAGCTGGCACCGAGGAAGGATTGCAAATTGGAGCGACGACTTTCATGGCAATTTGCTGGTTTTTATTATTATTCAAATGTCATTTGCTCGTAGCGCACATGGAGCCAGTCATAGAGAAGTCACGAAAAAGTGTTGACACTTTGAAAGCGGTTTTAAATGGGCTGTTAGACACCTCTACACTATTTTTCGCTCAGGTGTTGTCATGTGCTGCCATGTATTTCGGAAACTATGTGCAGAAAACCCGCACAACCGCATGTGAATGGTGCACTTACCATTAGCTCCTTGTCGGAGATAATTGCACCGAATGTTATCGACATTACGGGACCCATAAGCGGCGAGACCAGCATGGCCGCCACAATATTCGGTGCATTATTCTCCACCAGTCCGAGGGCGGCCAAGGAGCTGAAAGCAAACAACAAAGGAGAAATTAGATGTTGGTTCTTGCAAACTTTTCGTGAACTTACTCGGCGGTAACAATTAGCAGGAGATAGTCGAAGGACAGGGATCCGCCGGCCCGTACTCCGTCCACCACCTGTTTGACGGTTAATTTCGATTTAATTGATTCCACAAAAGTGTTCCACTTCGAGACATCCTCAGCCGCGGCAGCGTCGCTGAAGAAACCATAAAAGCCAAATAAATAAGCGCTGCCATAAAATAAACTGGCGTAAAGGCTGGATAAAAAGTGCCATCAAAATGTGCTCCAGCTGTGTAATTGGTGCAATGCCTTTTTATTGGGTTCAAACAGAAGTTCTGTGCCTTGATTTAAACAGGCTTTTGTATCTTTAGCAAGTTCATTACTGCTTTGTCTTGGTCTAATGATTGACCAAAGCATCATCCTCAAGCCAAGCACACGCTAACCTCAATTACGAGCTCATTGTGTATGCACACAGGTGCGCCAAGCGTCTGTGACAATTACTGGGCCAAGACGTCATCGTGTGTATATTTAGTGTCGGCTTTGCCATTGCGAGCACATAAATTGTGCGCCCGAGCTGGATGCATTTAACCCGTGTCGAGGACCAATGTCATAATCCTATCAAACTCAAACCAGCTTGCCACATGTAAATGTCCAAATTCTGTGACAATACTTATTCCAAGCAGCTCGCAAGTCTGCCCCAGAGCAGCCATAAACTTGGGCACGCGCCAAGCAGGGGGGGTCTTTCGGCGTAAAGATAAAAGAAACCAAAAAGGATGGCGCTGAAAGTGAGGCTGCGACTGCGACTGCGAGTGAAAGTTAATGAAATGACTGACGCCTTTGACACGTTGGAGAACGAACACCTGAAATTAGTTTTTAACAAAGCACCAGCCTGTGGGTGCCTGACAAAAGACATTTTACTGCACACTACTCGTTCACATTCTGACAAACGACTACCCGCAATGACAGTGAAATACTGCGCTCTGTGTGGGTGCACTTACCTGTAGTCGTCTCGCATGTTGGACGCATCTGTGAGGGCATCATAGCTAACGCTGCACGGCAGTACGCTGCATGGGAGAACGATATCAATTGAAATATGTAACCAGAAAGTCAGCGCATATCAATATTCGCCAGACAGGGCGCATTCACCACAGAGCAATCTGCGCTTTGTGGTTGCTGCGTGGTGAATACAGCGAACAACGTCACCTTGTATGTAAATTCACCATGGTGCATTAACCAAGACATCAACCTAGCGCCGTGGGCTCCCTCTTAATCTCCTTGAATTGTAACACATGTAAATGTGTTTGTTTAGAAGACACACAAAATACACATGTTTTATGCGTGAATAATTCAGTAGACAGCGCCTTCCTATGGTGGTAAGACATTTTGTGTCTTCAATTTTAATTGAATTTGTGCGCATATTAATCGGATAAGACTTCGCCTTGTCTGACTACTCCGCCCGAAGGCATGAAACCATCTGCACTTTGTCTCTTCCCTGGGAGCTGGTCACACCTTCGACTGCACTTTGGCCCCGCTTCTGCTTAATGCTATTAAATGATTATCACACCTACTTATCTTCTCTTCTCTTCCCCTGCTTTTGTCTTTGTATGTCCTTTCCTTGGCCTTAATTTACTTAAAGCGCTACTTAGTGCAGTTCATTGTTCGCTTAACTTCGAGGTCTGTTGTGTTTTTGTTTATTTAATTACTCAGGACGCAGATGTACGCCATTGAGGAGTAGCAAATTAGCCCAGAAATTTAACATAATTTCTATATAATATTTCACTACACCTCAAGGGCACTTGCAACTGATCGCCTGCTAAACCGTAGATGCATTTTATTGCATTTTTATTAAAACCAAGAGACTGGCGAAGGGGCTGCCAGCTGTTGCACGGCAAACTGTGGAGCGACCGACGTGACTTGGCTTTCCCGGCACGTTTAGCGTCGCCCTTGCCTTGGCATGTCTCAACTCACCTGACACTGGAATTCAATTTAGTGCCAATGCCCAGTTCCGTGAGACAGTGGAGAGTAGTCTCGCAGGCGTCGCCGGCTTGCAGTGGAAAAACGACGTGATGGAAATAACCTTTTTTGCTTGTTGTCCAAGTAACGTGCTCAATTTCAAGCTTGACAAGTAACTCCTCAAGTACCTGCAAAGGAAAGACAGGCAACAGCTTAGCGCTGAATATTCCTTTGACTTACAACTTTTGCATTTAATTGGATCGCTGGGGACACGTCGGACTGGACGGAATAGAATTTGATTTAAAGGTTTGGCGACTGTTGATTTATCTCAGCCTTGAACCTCTTTTCCCCACGTGGTGCATTCATCAATCTTCAGCTGGGCTGGCACCTAAGCCACCTCATTCATCAGCATAATCTACCACATGATAGCATCTGGGTAACGATTTACGTTTCGCAAAAGTATGCAATGCGCTCGAGTCACGTTCTATCTCGTTAAGTGCATTCCACAAAGCATTCACAGTCGCAGTCGCAGTCGCAGTCGCAGTTGAAATCAAACTCTTGTCGCAGAACGCACACGAAAACCGACTTTAAGTGCTTCTGGGGAAACACAAAGCTTCTGGCGCACTTGACCATACATTCTGGTCGATAGCAAGAGTAAGGGCGAGGGCACTTGTAACTGCCCGGAGAACGACTTACCTTTTCAAGCGGCACCACTAAATTACGTTTGTCCAGCGACGCACTTGTCGCAGTTGTGTCAGATCCGGGAGCTCCTGCAGTGCGCTTAGGCCCCTCTGTTTCTGGTCGACTTGCGACACCGACACGTCCAGTCCCTGGACCAACACCACCACCTCCACCACCTCCAACACGCCCACCGACCACACCGCGTCGATACTTGGGCACATTCTTGTCACGTAATTCAACTTCGAGTCGTAGTATTGTGTTGTTATTCTCCGGAAGATTGATGTTCAGATTATTGTTGCCACCGCCACCGCCACCGCCAGCTGCACCTCCAGCCACACCAGTGCCCGCCGAGGGTTGAAGTCCATGATGATGGCCACCAACAATCCCGACTGAAGCATCGCTTTTAGCTACATTGGAAGTGCCTGGAATTGGTTAATGAAAAGGTGACGCAGACATGTACATAAATTTAAGCTGATTCACTGCTAAGGTGGATTATCTTATCCATAGAAGATGCTAAATCCTGGACTTTTTTTTGTGTGTATCACATTTCGGTTAATTTATTGCCATTTAAGTATTTATATTGCAAATAGCGTAAACGCTTCTGATATTTGAACAGCCAGTTAAGCGTTTAATAAACATTTGTTTATGCTCTTTTGACCGCTAAGCTCAGTTTTTCCGCAAATTACGCTAATTAAATGCCACGTTGCCAACAGCAAATATTCATTGTTTTCATGCAATTATTATGCGTGTATTTTTACCAATTAAAGTCTGCCACCGCACTAAGCTCCACTTGAGCCACATTCATACATACATACGCAGGTACATCTGTAGATGCAAGTGGCAAGCGAAAAATCAAATCAAAGTCTAAATAAAAACCACACAAAGGATCACAATTTATTATGCCAACAAGAAGGAGGAGGAGCAGACAGACGTCGAAATGTACTATAAATCCCACCACATTGACAAATGCCGAAATAAAGCTTAAATGAGCTTAGGCCAGAAGCCAGGAACCCCAAGACTCGCCGCAAGCGTTGCTGGGCGGAGTGGAGCGTCTGCGTCTGTCAGTCACACAATTTGTTTCACATAGTTACACATACTCCAGTGGGCAAAGTTCCCAAAGTCAGCAAATTTGCCACCCGTGGCTCGGCCAATACCTGACCATAACCTCGGTCCTTGGTTCTGCTTTGACTATTTGATTCTGTTTCGGTTTCGGTGGCTGGCATTGAATGGTCCCAAAGTATCGGAAATCTCGGATATCTATCGTAATCTATTTCTGACACCACTCATTCACTGATTCCACTCAAATGCATGCATACCATTTTCGGTCCCTTTTCTACTTTCGTTATTTGACACACTTTAAGACGTCGCCAAGGACATCTTAACTTTTCCTACTTGTACTTTGGCGGGCCAAATAACAAAGTGTTATTTGTTTACATTGTTATGCCCTGGACTTGAGGCACTCATTGTTGCCAGCTCCCAGTGAAACTTTTTTCCCGCCCTCATTGCCTCCAAACCCCGCCACTCATCAGCTTATCTTCATTGTCATTATCAGCAAGCCTGCTGCTGCCTTAGCGACAAACTAAATTAATGATGATTTTCTTTGATGGCCTCGCCTTCGGCTTGTTTTTTGTAAGTATTTAAAATAAATATTTGATTAATGCTCTTGGCAAAAAATTGACTTCTACATGCTTGTTCGCTCTGTTCGCTCTGTTCGCCATTCTCAGCGTCAGATTTCACAAGACGCTAAGTCTCATATTTCCATGTGGCCATTTATTTCATAAATTACATTGTTTATGAGTTTTTATTACATACATTTCTGATCGCTTTTGATTATGATAAATGGTTGGCTAAAATTGACAGTTGGAGTTTTTATAAATGAATACAACTTTTGTAGCAGTAGGTTCACCCTACAATGTACATACTTAGATATGTACATATGTGTGTACATAGGAGTTGCTGTAAATGTACGTATACAGAACTGTAAGTCATTGCGAATTAACAGCAATAAAGAAGAACAGAAACTATGCAGTAACTTAACAGTTGTTGCCTTCATTCGCATTGTTGCTGAGAGCGAGCTTTGACTTCGAGAGAGAGAGAGAGTGTCGCCTCAGCAGAGTGTGTCGCGGTGGTTGCTTTTTGAGAGAGAGAGAGGAGGATCAAAAGGGAATTGCAAAGAGAGAGAGAGTGCAATTGGATGATGCAGTACAGTGTGAAGTACTGCGTAAGCAAAGAGTGGCTGGCACAAGGAAAATAAATCAGTTTGTTTGCTTCCAGTTTAGATGCGCTCCAGAAACAAAAAATGCAAGAACAAGAAGAGCTCCATATGTACATAAATATGTATATGTATGTTTGTCACCAAAACGATTAAATAAGATACACACAGCACAGGCCGATTCTCGCGTTTAATGCTCGTCCCAAACTGCTCTATTCCACAATTATCCATTCAATTTCTTCAGTGCCAATTAAATTTTAATATTACACTTTCTGGCGGCAGAATGTTCTTCCTATTCTTGACATTGCCTCGTAAAATCAGCTTCCTAGAAGCCTCTTCTAAGACTCTGTTCAAGATAGCACACAGAAAAAGCGTTGAAAAAAAGCTACGTATGTACATCCCAGTGTTTATGTCCGTGTGTGTGTGTGTGTGGGTGTCTGATGGGAGTTCATACAACATTCATGGAATGCTTTCAGGCCCTGAAACACTTTTACGATATCATAAAATAATTAATAACGCCACTAAACAACGTAATTACGCGCTAAGCCCAATGCATACAGGTAGGGTAGCTACGGTAGGTGGTGTGTGTGGGAGTGTGGGTGTGTGGATGTGGATGTGGTAACGGAACAGTACGAGCGCATGAGTGAGAGGCCGCTCGGCAGATTATGTGGTTGCCGGCGCCGCCTAGATGAATGTTACATGTTCGTGTAAACAAAATTGCAACTTTGTATTTAATTAGGCACAAGCGCTTACTTAATTTGGTTGTTCATACCACGGACTTACCGTAAATCAGCTCACGTTCAAAATTTGCCGTCGGCACAACGATTAGAAAGACAACGCCCGGCATCCTGCTGTCAACGCCTTCTATCCACTGCTGTGTGCCTGCGAATGGATAAGCCAAACTGGCCCGCGTTTAGTTGGCAAAATGTGTGTTCGAAGCAGACCAAATCTACATAGCCGCCAGATACTGAGACTTTCATTTAAATTTCCTCGCCAAAAAGTTGCCAGGTCCCCTGACAGTGTGCACTGCCTTTTAGCTACTCCTGAATGCATTCAAAACAGATAACTCTGTTTTGCATAAGCCGTAGAAATACACTCCCAGCAACAAAAGCACCCCATTAACCCTGACGACTCCGAGTAGTAGTAGATTCAGTCAGTGCATTAGCATCTCTGTCTAGTTAAATGTTCACCTTTTAAGACTAAACTTTTTAGCGTTGAAGCCACTTGCCGACAAGCTAGTCGTAAATGAGAACTTAAGGTCCGTTTATCAGTAGTTTACCGTCAGTTCTGCTTGCATTTTATGTACTCAAATTTCTTGATTAAAAATACCATGACTCTACGGGGTCCGTAGCCACGCAAACTTTTTTTACCCAACATTAAATTCCTTTCATCAATCAAATATAAAACTGCCTCTGCAAAGTATTTGCCCAAAAGTCGATTTTCGAATGTACTGAACTGGCGAAAATAAGAAACAAGTCTTCCGTCTACTTGAAATTAAAATGCCATTAGCACAGAGTTGAGATAAAAACGAAACAAATACGATTAAATACATGTAGGAGCAGAGCAGGCGGGATAGCAGGATATCGCTGCCGCCTGAGTGCTGATGTTGCGCCTGGCTCCTGGATCTGCTGGAGTTCCGCTGAGTTCATGTATCGAACGTACATGTGTACACAAGTGTAAGCGAATAAGCCTCAGACTTAATGCAGCTTTAATTTGTACTCTGCGATGAAACTGCTTCGATACTTAAGGCCTGCAGCCAGCTTAAGGTGAAGGTCTCACTGTGCGTGGCGAATAAGGAACTGGCCGCCCCCTAGCGGACAACGTAACCTTGCAAGTGAATTCACCTTGAAGGTGTAGTCAAAAAAGCAGACACTAAGAAAACAAAGTTTTGAATGTTGAATGCTGTACATTGAGTGTAGAATTTCAATGCGTAGTCTCAAGCACCTTATTTCTCCACACTTTTACTTAACAACTTTTCACAGGAGCTTCACAGCAAACAAACGGCCTGCCCGTACTCATCTTTATTCTGTTCCGTTCTGCAGAAGACCAACAAACCCATTCACCCGTTCCCCACAAGCCTCTTAAGAACTTCCAAGCCAAACAACCGAAGCCACTTTGCAGCACGTTGCACTTTTTTTTTCTTCCCACTTGCCATCTTTCATTTTGCGGCATATTTATTAAAAAAGAAAGAAAGAAGCGCAAAGCAAAAAATGGGAACAGAGAGGGAGAAGAGGGAGAATAGTGGGAAGTGTGCACGAGAATGGAGGAGGCTGGAGCTGCAGGAAATTCTTTTATATTAACCGAAAATATTTATTTTCTTGCTTGCTGCCTTCGTTTTCTGTGCGCACTTTTCTGATTAATTCCGTAACTATATATTTACACAACTCGGGTGAAGTTTTCCTCTGCGACGACGAGCCGGGCCACTCGTGAAGAGTGCAGAACTGGAGACCCCCGGCTTTACTTTTCACTTCTGCTCTGCATTGTTGATCCCACTATTTTCGCGATCCCGCAACAATGGAGCTCACCCACTAATTTGTATGAGCAGACCCAGTAGAGTTCCTAATTAGGGCAAAGGAGAATTTCGGTGCGATATAGTCACAAAGTGCAGCCGCAAAAAAATCACCTTCAAAAGCCACTTGAAGCTCCAAGGTTTTGCAGGCACTCTCTGAAGGGCGCTGGAAGGGGAAATATAATTACTTCCAATAAGTTTTGGGGCCACAGCAGCCCACCCATAGTGTCCACTTCGCAGTAAATAAGTCCAGCAAAAGCCGAAAAGACTTTCGTTGTCAGCTTTTGATTTCGTGGCTTGCCCCCCCATTCTCTCCCATTTCTCCCCACACTATTGTGGCAGCGTAATGCCGTCGTAATTAAAAGCGCTAATTGCTTATGTCTGCCCCGGAAAATGGGTGCCACTAAGTGAGTGGGTAATGGAGAAACGAAACTAGATATTCCCTCGGAGGTAACTCCAGTCTGTACGTAATCTTTGAAGCTTGTAGTACTTCGATTATTCCAGCAGATTCTTTCAGTCCAGCAAGAGCTGGCCCAAGCACAATGCATAATCATTTAAACAAGGATAAGCCTCGCCCAAAGTCCTGCTCTAAGCACACACGGGTGCCACCAAGTTTCAGCAGAAAAGTGTCTGTCTTTTAGCCCGCAACTTAAAGTCCGATAAGGAAAAAAGCAAACCCAAAAAAAGGCGAAGCTCCTAAGCGCTCTCCTGTGTAAGATTCTGCTGGTTACTTGGCCGCAAACTTGGGACTTGGTGTGTCCCGATACCTGGCACACGGATGCGTGCTTAATGCCCAAAGGTGCTATTTGCTGGAATATTTTATCATTAATTCCAAATTATGAAAGAGTGCCAGAGTCGAAGGTTAGCGCGGGAAAGGGAGATGGGCCTTAAAGGATTTTCCTTTTCTAAGAACATATTTATGTTGTCTGCTTTACAGCTGGGTCGAGTGCTGCGCAACTTCAACATAACAAAAATCAGCGATCTCGAGCTGATTTCGAACTCCACCGAACGCTTGGACATGACTTTCCACTTCTTTGGCACCAAAGGCGACTCGCAGCGCATTCGGGAGGCAATCACACGAATGGTCGAACGTGGCAGAATCGGAAACTTTACTTTGGTGGCCAATTTTCATCACATCGATGAGAATCCACCGCTGAACATGCTGGTGAGTCGACCAACAAAATAATAAGTTCCAAAAGAGACATTTCATTTCATTTCTTATCAATCGAAAAATATTTTATCTCTGCACTCTGCACGCCGAGAACATCAATCAATTGGAAGAGCATTCCATGATTGATTTCTGCCGAGTGGAACACATTTATTAATACGCTTCGGTGCTGGACCTGGATGGCTATTAAAAGTGTAATAAATATACACTTCCATTTGCGATACAATAATTTATGAACTATTGCGGCACGTGTTGGAATATCGTTAATAAATGTTTCCACACTGTGGCATTTGACACTCGGCCCAGAACAACGAGAATAATTATTTATTAATTGCGGCCTGCATGAGCGCACAATTGGCCTCATCAAGAGGCCTGCAATTAAGTTGCATTAACACGAGGAACAAGCCGACAAACCTCAGGCGGTTCCAAGCAAGATTGGTAGCTCTGACAGGAGCAAGCCGAAGCCACACCTCAACCGCAGGCTGTCGAATGTCTAATTAGTGCCACATTGTCTGACTGCTGTCCATGCGTTCCTCCATTGCAGGACCTGAGCGTCAATCAACCGCAGGCAAGCGTGCGCGAGGACAGTGAGTTCGTCATATCCTGCACGGCCCAGGGCTCTTCCCGCATGCAGTTTCAGTGGTTCAAGGATGGAGCCGCGGTAAATGCCAGCAAGGCAACGAGGTAAGTAGATAGACAGATGCCAGCTGTTTGAGCCTATTGACCCCCGTTCAGTGCCTTAAATCTGGTTCAGTTGGCTCCTAGTTTTAATCAAAGGAGTATAAAAAGGAAATCGTCACACTCGGGAGCGCAGGGGTTGGGTTCGGCTAAGGGATGCTCAAAGGCTCGAGCTCAAGTGTTCCATTTGACTTTATGACTTTACACATCAATAAACATGACATCAAAAATAGCTGAACGAAATAAAAACGAAGCGGCCAAAAGGGATACATAAGTGAAGCCAAAGATAAAGATTTGTCAGAAGCCAAAAGTGTAGACTCTAGGACGAAGCCCAACCGCAGCCGAATGATTGATCAAAAATTCAACAGTGTGAGGCAGTTGGAGCACATGTGTAGCCAGCAGCCAGCAGCCACTGGTTTGGGTTTGGGTTGTTAGGGATTCTGGCTGTGCGTGGCTAAATTACATAAAAACCATATGGCCGTAACTAACGAGCGGCTGTTACTTGGACCACTTGGCAGGGGCTTAGCTTTAGGCCCAACCACGAAACAATATGACTTGAGCACAAGCTTTAGGTGTCACTGGAACTCAGCGGTAAATGGTGGCATAACACAATACAACAACATTTAAAGAGCTTCATAATACAACCAAAATGTGTCCTGTCTTTGTGCGCTCAACCTTAGACTCTCCAATAAGCAACCCATTTTGGTGGTATTACTTAAAGCTGTATTCATTTTGCTTCCGGTTAAAGCAGTCAGAGCCCGAACTTATGATTACTTTTCTGCATACCCAATACACACACACACACACACACACACACACACACACACACATTTAGGTGCACTTTTTTGGTGCTGGCTGGGCCCCTCCCCAAAAGACCAACTTGGACGCATTGATGTGTAAAAAATGACTGTTTTACAAGCCGCAAACACATGTTTGGGACTAGTGCGGGTATTAGTAAATATTTGAGCTAAAATGAAGCGAAGTGAAGTCATTCACTTGGACATTTACTAACTTTGCATTATACAAACGAATACACATTAGATGTCCGTCCCATGACCTAACTTTTGCGTACTAAAATAGCCGGAAGTAAGTCAATTTTGAATGCTTGATTTCACGTGCCTGAGTGTTACTCACTTCCGAATAGAACTCCCCAATTTGTATACAAATTGGGGACACTGCGGCAGTTGTTTTGTGTATCCGAAATTTGGGCAAACTTAAAGCTGAAAATGGAGGCGTTCAGCCGTTGACAGTCGCCCGATTTTGACCCAGTTAACAGCTGCTTAACGGTCGCACACCGAAGACCCAACCATAACCTACTTAATGAATGCAATTATTTTGCAATCACGTCGCTAACGCTCGCTCCCCGAGCCGCCTCCCAGGGCGCCGGCAACCGAAACTAACAAGAGCCTTTCAGGTCGGGCTTTGATTAACATTCCTTAGCGTTCCTATTCGTCGTCGGCAGGCCGCAAGACACATGTGGCAGGGCTCGGTCATTAATTGCCACCCTAATCCTGTCTCCTTTAGAATGTGGGTCTGAGCAGCCGAGTCCGAGGGCCGAATGTGCTGCTGATTAAGTGTTACAACGGTACTAATGCTATTATTAGTTCTAGCCCATGCCAACCAAGTCCACGTAACTATTCCTCCTCATTGAATAAGCTGCCTGATTGGTTTTGGCTGAACGGCCGAATAGAGGCTGCTCCGATTACGTCTTCACCACAGTGGTTCTATTCCTGACTAGCGCTCGGCTCTCTGTGCGTGGTGAATAAGTTATGGGATCGCCCCACAGCGGATAACGTCACCTTTTCGATAAGCCCTTAAATTTGTTTTCTTTTCTTACAATTCACTTCCCGTTGTTCCTATGGGGAACTTGCTCGCAGCTTTGCTGTCAGCAATAAACTGAACAATAACTGATTATCTCTGACATTTTAATATCACTTCCAGCATGCACACACATCATCCGCCTGGCAAACCATTGCTAATTCCATAAACGGGAGCTCGCGAATGTAACAACATTTGACGCACTTTGCACTGATGTGTTATGTGCAGGGATTGCCACAAGCAGTTGACCTTTTGAAGAGTGCATGAACCACGACTTGTACAAAGTTTACTTTAAGCTTTTTCGTTTCTCTTAGCGCCATGACATGGAAAGGGTTGAAGTTGCTCTCTGACTGCCTGTCAATGCAATTTAATCCGCTCCCCCTGCCCTGCCCAGCCCATCGGAATCTGATCCCAGACTGTGTCTTTGGTTGCAGCCAACAAAACTGCTTCGATGCTGTGTGTCACTTTTGGCTAGCTTCTGGAAATTTGTCAAACTTGCTTGAAAGCCAAAACAAAAATTCAATTTCAGCAGCCAAATTGCCAGACCCCCAGAAGCAGTCCCAGAACCAGCCCCAGCCCCAACCCCAGCCCCAGCTCCAGCTACAGCCAAGAGACATAAGTAAAATATATTTCGTATATTTTACAAATTGGCTCAACCCGGGGCAGCAGTAATACAGAATTTGAGCAACAAAAGAGGCAACTGTCTTGACAACGCGCAACGCAACGTGCAAGCGCATACAGGGTGCACCCACCAGCAGTGGACTGCTCCCGCCTTGGCATGTTTTTCATCACAATGGACACCCTGTCAAGTCCACACGAGTAACTGTAAAAGGGGGAGTCACGATTCTCATTAGTTTCATTTTGCACAGTGTGTTTTGCCGGATGTTTTCCGTTTTCTTTGCTGCCCGTGGGGTGACAATGACAGCGCCACAATTAGTTGCACAAACCCACCCAAGCGCCCAAGCTCGACTCCTCCAAAATGTCTGGCATTATCTCATAACTGGTTACCCTGTGTGCCATTCTGGCGTGTGTGCCGCTTCCCATTTCCGACTCCTTGGCACCGTTTGTGCAATAAAAAAAGTTCAACGCTTGATTGGATGGTTACTGGAACGAGTATTGATCAAACAGTTTGACATTGCAGCGAGCAAAAAGCGCCCCACATTCTGCCAATCCGACTCGTGACGGGCTGGAGAAATGTGATTTTTATGCGCGGCATTGAAAGGCGTTCAAAAATAGCGCAGAAGTACGACTCGCTGGGTACGCGCTTGGAGGAGCTGCCTTAGAAATTCAGTTAACAACTAAGACGCGCTCGAACAGGGCAGAGTTATTCCAGCAAAAACCTAAGCCATGCCCATACACTGGGACTGGGACTGGGAGCACGAGCACGAGCATGGCGGCGCCCATTATCACTGGCCACCCCGTCGACACTGGACGGGATCGGCAGAGCCCAAGTGCCGTCAACGCCGCTACTATCTGTCACACGAGCTAGACGTGTGCGCCAGAGACTTCCACTTGCGAGTGGACGACAGCGCCTGGTGTCACGGCTCCTGTCTGGTGGGACGCGTGGTTATCGAGACGGGCACAGAGCCCGACTCCTTGGGTCGTGGCACCTTCAAGGTGGTCCTAGACGTTCATCACTTCCACATCTCCGAGCTCACAGTCAAGGCGAGGAACAGTGACACAATTTGTGTGGAGGGTCAGCGGTCAGACGATCGCGCGGACAAAGCCCAGCTGTGCATTACCCGAGAATTCTCTCGCACCTACAAGCTCCCCAGGCACTACGATGGGACCCAAGCACGTGCGACTTTCTCCGCTGACGGCATACTCATGATTACGGTGCCAGCACCACCAAAACTGGACGATGTCGAGCGGGTGGTGGACATTGAGCCCACTGGCAACTACTTTGGCAGCATTGCGGATCCCAGTGCAGCCAAGGCCATAGAGCAGTCCACAGCAAGCGAAGGAGCCGAGGAGAATGCTGCTGGCTCAGCGACGGACAAGTGAAGGAAACCATTGGGCAGAAGGGTTCATCCCTACACAGAGCACACGCACAATAGGATTGAATTCTAGTTCTAGTTAGCACGTAGAAAGAGAAGAGAAAATGTCTTCAGTACAGTAAGAATCTACACTTCCGCTTGTGATTTTGTTTGTCTGCCAATAAAGGACTTTATCAGCACGAACATTTAGCCGAGGGCTAATCGCATAAATTATAAGAAGACTCGGGATAAATCATTCGCTTTGGCAAAAACCAGTTGCCAGATATTTTTCGGGATTAACCACCCGCCTTCATACATACTGGAGTATTTCGATTTCTTTCGGCTTTTAGCTTTCCTGTCACGCATCTTTTGATTAGCACAAATTTGAATAAAATTCACTAACACCTTTTTCCGCTTTCCCCATCTGCTTCGCACACATCCCATCGTTTCTTATTGCCACCTCGGCTCCGGCACATGGCCCATAAAAAGACAAAGGAAAGAGCTTGTCAGCAAAAAACAAAAACGAAAAGGAAATATACATTTCGACCTTTGCTAAACGAGAAACAGTGGAAGCAAAAAATGGCATTGAGCGAAAAAAGCCAAGGGGTAAATAATACGGATAAAGAGACAATTTTTTTGAACCCAAGCCTGGGCTTTCAGGGTTAATCTATGCAGAAGATTTCGCTGCCAAACTAAAGCAGCGAAAATAAAAAACTTTATGTCACAAAATGAAGTTTGATGCATTAAATGTTGTCTATTTGTTTTGCTCAAGTGTTGAAAACTCTGGTAGCTACACAGTAGGCCAATCGGGACATTCGAGGACGAATGCTTCGTTTTTTTTTTTTTTGATTTGCTTTCGGTCCCTTGCAATTTAGCCGTTGAGACACGTTTTCTTGTTACGATTGTAATGAAATTTGCTACATCTTGAAGTAAATCGTTGGTTGTCCCTTGTCCGTTGCCGGCCGCAACCCAGAAGCTGGCGAAACGGCAAACAACGAGGTCGCGTACTTTGTCATCGTTTTGTTTTTATGCGTAGTTGCGTTTAATAAAGTTTTTATACGGGGCCCTTGAATTTACCAGACGGACTCCCTTATTTCTAATCAAGTTACGGTTACAGTTGCGGCAATGCGCCCCGCAGCTTTAAGATATTGGACGGGCTGCGGCGTAAGATATCCATATTTACGAGTCTTTCGGAGGACGACGATAAAATATTCAGCAGAAAAGTAACTTCACAATTTCAATTCCCCATGCTATTGGCAAAGCCCGGTAGAAACCAAAATAATACTCGCAAAGATAATAAACACCTACACACCAATTTTATGAACTCATAAAACATGGCCATGGAATTGTATTTTATACACGAGTATCCATATGTGTAAGACGAACTGGGCCCGCAGGCTGTACGGCGCCCGTTCAGCCTCAATAAAAAGCCCACCACAGACATCATTCTATCCAGCAAAACATTCAGCATCGCTTTGAGCTATTCATATGTGTGTTTTTTATGTCGTCTGGCTTGCCACAACACTGAATACGTCACGTCTCTGGCTGGCTGGCTGGTTGCAACTAATTTTCTGTTCATCACTTTTGATTATTTATGTTTGTGTGTGATTGACTAGGTCTTCAAATTTACATATTTATGTACCTTACACACAAACAATTGTATGTGCAGGTTTATGTTTATTGTTTAAAAGTAAAGTTCAATAAGTAATAGAATACAATTGAAATGGTATACGAACTGGGCTTTAACGTCGTCCGCTCTCGCACATAACCTGGAAAAAAGCTCCCTCGGTCTCTCTCTCTCAACGATCTGCTCTTCGCTGTCGCCTGAATTCGCTCTCCTTCGTTCTCTCTTTGCGCTCTGCTCTCCTGTTTTGAATTCGCAGTGACGCTAATTCGCCCTTGTTCGTTTTGGTGTTTTGTCTAGGGATCGCCATAGGCAACACTCAGCCCACATGCACACACGTATTATTTATGCATTATTAACGTCGAAGCATGCAATCACTCTAAAATGAATCCCAAAGGGCACTTAACTAATTACGCGAATTGTTGTGACTGCATATATAGTTTCGGAGGGAGAAGGTCGAATCTAGACGCCACCAGTTGTAATCACGCAAATCAGCTTATTGATCTGCGAACGTTTAACACATTTTTTCTGACGTCTAATGCTGTTCGTGCCAGTCCTGACGTACTTTGCCGCCAATGCGTTGTTATGAGTTGTTTCAGCAGGGCGAAAGCGCAAACAGATTCGAAAAGCTCCGTGCTCTTTGTTATTGTGAACTTCTGCCTTGCGCTGGAGCATGTGCTGCTGTTCACTTGTAAGTACAGGGCACGCACTGGAACACATAGACATGCACGCCTCCATGCGTAAACGCATTTTGCGGGCTATTTGTAACGCGCGCAATGGCGAGGTCAGCGTCAGCCCCCGCCCCCACGAAAATGCATTTTGCAACCACAGCCAGCAATGTTCCTGCAGCAGCCGTCATTGATGGCAATGGCATGGCTGGATATGGTTACGTGAGGGAAATTGCACCAAAATTGTGCATATACCATGGATAAACTCAAACGAGTGCATGCTTAAAACAAAAAATTGTATTAATACTTCATCCTTTTTGTTTGTTTAAACATTTCGAGAGTTATCCACACGGGATGGTCTCTAATCTTTGACCGATTCTGCAGTTGTGCATTCCATTGTACTAGTGGAGTAACTGGCGCTTAGACTGCTTTCCTGTGCACCATCATTGCCATTGTTGTGGATGTCATTCTCTCTCGTTCTCGCTCTCTCTCTCTCCCCCTCTTCAATCCAATGGTGCTCATTTGCTGGAAACGAGATGAGCGTAACGGTGCTTTGCTGTTTTTGTGGTTGTTTGTTTGGAAAGCAACTTAGTGCTATGGCCTGGCGTAGTCGTAGTTACCGTGGCTTCGGCTTTTGGTGTTGCCGCTGCATTTAACCGTTACGCACTTCCTGCACAGAATGTTATTACTTCCGTTGCCGTTTAATTGATTTTGAAGGTGCCTGCTTTGGTCGTTCAGCTAGGGGGCTAGGGTTAGTGCTGGCTGTGTAGTGCTCGTGTACCAGTGAAATCTTCCGCCATAGGCCATTAGTAAATTGTGGGCTAAGTGCTTTGCATGCCGGAGCCAGAGCCAGAGCCAGAGCCAGTTGGAGGTAAAGCCAATGCCTATGCTTTTGCCATTGCCTTTACCTTTGCCTGTGCCCATTCAGAAACGCATTTTTAGACGCTACAGCTGTAAATAGCTGGGAACCATGATTTCGGAGTGTGCACGGAGATTGTGGTTAAGGACGAAGGCTGGTTCCCTTTACGGCACTTTCGCCATGTGCGGTTTTTGGGTACCTTTTCAAGGCTTTTTAAACGGAGTTCGTTGTTCATGTTGTTCTTGGGTGTTGCTGGTGTGACGTCAGCGTTACCGTTATCCATGCGTAAAAGTTATTAGTGAAATGCACTCAGCTGGCGCAAAAGCGGCAGAGCAGGCTGGCGGAGCAGATGTTTGTTGGCCACGAAAACCTCAAACAGCACTTAAGTTGTTGCCAGGTGGAAGGAAGGTTTCGGTTTGTTTTACTTAGTGCTCCGCACAGCCGGCGTATGCTGTGATTTGCAGTTCTCCAGAGGATTATGGGGGGACGCCGGAGATAGTCTAATAGGCTTAGCCTGCATTTTAGATACATCGTTGGCAAAACTTTGCAAAGAGCTGACGAGTGGAATTTGTATTCGTAATTATGAAGTTCCATTGCCGTATCTTTTGTTAAAAGTAACATAATCTCAGCGGCAGGTAATATTTCCCTCTCTCTCAGAACTCTCCCTCCAAGGACTGACCCATTTATCCATGAAACCAAAAACTATTTACAATTTTAGCACCGACAATGCACTGTGGCAGCTAAAGCATTTCGAAAAACATTTGAAAATGAAACATGCTTCATGCTAATTGACTTCGAACCGCAGCATCCGCGATTGTTTTCACATTAGCTATGATTTCTTTCAGCCACGCAGACTGGCGGTGCGGAGTGGCTGGATGGGTTGTGTGGGCTATGATAAGTGAACTGCTATTAGTATGTCAATTAGCGTGGCTTGTTGCATGCACATACGATGCAGTTCACTTGGTGCAGTGGCACGTTGCAAACATCTGCTTGTTCGGGGCGTGAAAATGAATGCTTGACTGGCATTCGCATGATGCTGTATCTGTTTCAAGTACTTGGGGGAAACCGAAAGTGAAGTGCTAATTAGCACAAGCGTTAAGCATCCACAACTAATATTTGCTTTCTGTCTGCAGGGAAATCTGGACTACTGTGTTGCCACCTGAAAACAAAGATGTCTACACGGCGATCCTTGGCATTAGAAAGGCTAGTCGGATCGATGAGGGTGTCTACAGTTGTAAGGTAAGTGGATACCAGCCTTTAATTTCCAGATACAAGATGCCTGGCAAACCCCCCGCCCAAAAGGCCACATAATTACATTAGGTTTCGGTTCATTCTGTTCTCGGTTCTGTTCTTCAATTTCGCGTAGCTTTTAATTAGACTAATTAAAATATGGTAGCCTGGCCAGATAGCAAAATGTGCTGGATGAAGAGATACCGGGTTGATTGTCGGGTAGCAGCCACAGCCGTTGAATGGTCTTCTTCAACAGCCAATTAAATTTTAATCTAGGGTATTAAACATTCTTTTGACTGTTCTTTTCTGGCTTTAATTTGTGGGTGCTTAAATATGATTTTAAGCCTAGCGTGGCTAAATGTTTCTTTGTACTTCGTGCTCTTGGAGTCCCCCACTAAATAAGAGCCTTAAATCGTTCCAGACCATTAGACCTTAAACTTACCCTGTGCCGTCCATTTACCTCATTGTGGCAGCAGTCCGGCTGGTTCGTCCTTTCTTTATGGCTCCGGTAATAACGTATTACGCAAATGGCCTGTAAAAAAATATTGGCCTGTACATAAGAATAGCTCGAGCACGTGAAGCCTTTGCCCAAAAGAAGGAAAAGAAAGTTTCCACGTGGACACAGGACCAAGGTACACGAATAGACATCGCTATCAATAAACGGGCGTGGGAGTGTGTACGAATATTAGGCTACTCCGAGAGAGAGTCAGCCATAAATCAAATGGTAATGTGATTGCTTGCAATCAAATGTGTACGTTTCCTAATAATAAATCAAATTTGGAATTGTTTACTAGCTGAATTTGTACATAGACTCTTTCACAATAAAGAATCAAATTGAAGCAGAACATTTTTAACACTTTAAGCTGGTGATTGCAAGGAACAAAACGAGAAATTCTCGCTCGGTTGAAGCCGCAGCCGCAGCCGCATCTGTTGCCTGGTGCAGCCCAGCAAGCTGTCGCTTTCTTGGGCCAACAAATGGAGGCAGGCCATTGTATTTAGTGCTTGGTCCGAGTTCTCCGAGGGGATTTTGTGAAGTTTTTTATGCGGCGCCCCTACACTTTTTAGCGACCCTTCTCTTTGCCGCTTTGTGCTCACTCTGCGTCCGCTCTTATTGTCGCTTTGGACCTCGTAATGACGCAGCCAGATCAAAGGCAGGAAGCCAAGGGGGCGCTGAGAAAAGGCGTCGGGGGGAATGGTGATAGTAATTCAAAGCGCTTGCCAGCTGGAACCACTGCACGATAATCAGGGGATGGCTGGCTGGCTGGCTGGCTGGCTGGCTGGCTGGCTGGCTGGCTGGTTGCCCTGGGGGGCAAAGTCCCTGAAGGTCGCTCAGCTGTTTACTCAAAACTCAAGAGCACGAATCCTTTTCAATAACATTCGCCTCAAGGTCCGAGTCAATAAAGTGCCTGCCAATGCCTTTTCCCATTAGGCATTGGGGACTGCACGTCCATAACTTGTCCATAACGGGTGGGTGTATGCCATCTATTATTTATGAATCTATATTAAGTATACGCCTTGTTGCAATTAGTTCATTTGCCTTAGGGAACGGAACGGGCATCGTCTTGGGTCCATTACGTGCACAATGAACCAAAGCGGAGCTGTCTTTAAGTCTTTCGCTGCATAAAGTTTTGCTTCTAAATCCGTTTCAATTTCCACGGAGCACGATTTTGGCTTCGAGTGTGCTTAGAGGGAACCTCCATCGAAGAAAGAATTTCTGGATAAAGGATTGCCAAATGGAGAAGGCAACTTGAGGTTTCCACATTGAAAAACTAACACCCTTCGAGTACCGGGATGTGATTAACATAATCGTAATAAATTATTTTCTTTTTATGGCAAAAGCCACTTTTATGAACTATTAATTTCCTTTGAGTGCTGTTAATTGATGAGCCGCAAATCGGGCCGGCAAATGGGTTTTCCATTTCCATTTCCGTACTCCGTAAATGTGTCATTTAACGACTTTGACTGTTAATGAGACGCGACCTATCCGGATCAGGGCCAATAAAATGCCATTTGGCCACAAAAAGGCTTCCTCCGTTCCGCAAAGTTTTGCAGTCTGGCAACGTTCAAGCTAAATGAGTTAATTGTCATTTGGATTTTGTGGCTGGCAAAGATTGTCAACGCTGCAAAGTCGTAAATGACTGCGAGACTCGGAAACACTTTGACACACAATTTTAAATCTTTCTTTGCTATAAAAATGCTGCACGCCCTCGGACTTGCATTGAGAGCATCTCGTTGTATATTAAATATTTCCGGGTCGACTGTAGCAAAGCGCCAAAGGGGGAAGCTATCAGACAAGGATATACAGACGGAAAACGATCCAGACAAGTGCAATACCTTCCACATTGGCGACAATCACATCCCCGAGCGAGGTCTGTCGCCGCCGTTCGTTAGTAGTTCCATTTCATTTTAAATTTGAAACGGAAGTTTGTTGAAAACGTAGCTAGGCAGGGCGAGGCAGGGCAAGTGCAGACGATTCCGCATTGTGTCCTCATGCCCCAGCCCCAGCCCCATCATCATCTTTTTCGCCGTCATTGTCGTAACGACCATGATTTTCTGTATGCCTCCTCCACTTCAGCCAGCGCTAGCCACCGCTATGTTTCCCCCAGGAGGCACGTGCAACAACAGCATGAGCAACATTCACAACAGAAGTTTACAATTCGTTGGATTGCAGACCACGTGGAAATACTTAAATGGAAATACTTAAATGCAAAAGGTTTGCTCAAATGGCATATTGCCCACATGGCACTAAAGCTTAAAGTAGCCATCCTTAGCCTTAGCCTTAGCCTTAGCAAAGCCCAAGTAGTCGTAAGTGCTTAGAGAGCCCTCCAACAACGAGCGCAAGTCTTCATGGACATACTCGTGGCTTGACTCAGTGACCGAGTGAACAAGCGCATACAAATCTTAGTAGGGTTAAGCATGCGATTTCTTGCTTTTGTCAATTCTCTTTGTCGTGAAACATATGTACATATATCGAATTTAATTTAATTCAGGGTTTTGCATTTACTTAACAATCGAATGCGATTCAGAAGTCAAATGTGGTAATTGTTGTCGGAGTAGAATTATGAATCGTACATAAGCGTAAAAGAGCATCGCGAACCACCCTCTCAGACTCTCATTGTCTGCAGCGTGTAGCTGTGCAGCTTGCAGCTCACTCTCTCGATGCATCTCTTTCTCACTCTACCCAAGCTGCTTGCTCGTACGGTGATCTCTAGTTACCGTCTCCTCTTTGACCGCTCTTCCCGCGCTCACTCTAGCACTAACATTAACGCAGCTATGAGACAAAAAGTGCACAAGACGGTGCGTGCATGCCAAGAAGCAACTATAAAGGAGGGCCCTTCGTCTTCAGCGTTCCTCGGGTCATTTCCCCCCGACCGTGGGGGGACGCAAGTATGAGCAGCTTGTACTCTTACTATTGTAAAGTTGCTCTCTCTCTCTCTGCACGCCCTGCATTGTTACGTTTCCCTCTAAAAAGCCAACGGGCCCTCCTTTATAGTTGCTTCATGTGCATAGCAGCGTGCGTGCATAAGCAATGACCAATACCTAACGGTAAACTGCAAAGCAGACAACCAAAAGGGAGCACTGCAAGCACTGTGCCAGGGTCAAATAGAAAGCCAAGCATAATCACAGTTGGTCAGTTCTAATCGGCACACACAATAAAGTCCATAAAGCATATCTAGGGACAATAATCGTACAAGCGATGACAAGCATCAAAGTGGAGCTGACATCAGATGCTGCCTTGCTCTCCAGTTTCAACATGGAAAGCAGAATCTGTCTGCTGTCTGCTTGCCGCCAGGATGTGTGCAATGCTCCCCGACAAGGCATTTGATATTTGGTCGGGGGGTCTAAAGGCTATCAATGAACGTCCGGCCGGGAGCGGTCATCGAGTTATGGTTTGCCAATGACAGACATTTTATGTGGACTTGGCTCTAATGAATGTTGACCAACTGATTCTCTCATTTTTATTTGCAGGTCACCGACTGGGGCGTGGAGCAATGCCGCTCCCTACACATTCACATCAAGTCACCTCCCCGTCTGAGAGTGGATCCTGCGAGTGTCACATTGCAGCGCGGAGACTCCCTGCGAGTGCGTTGCCTATCGCCCGGCAACGATGACATCAAACGATACGCCCAGCTGGGCTACAGTTGGACCCGCAATGGTGTGCTCTTCCAGTCGAACACAGCCACCGCCATGTGGGAGGATCTGTATCCCGATGGCAGCATCCTGAAGATCAACAACATACAAAAGTCCGCCGAGTACGCCTGCCTCGTATCGAACAGTGTGCGCCCAGTGTCCAAGAGTGTCTACATCAACGTCATCGAACGCAATGCGGCGCACGTGTGTGCCGCAGAGTCCACCTACGGGGTACACTGGCCCACCAGTGCCCCCGGAGCACCCATCATTACAGACTGTCCGCGAGGCTTTGAGGGTCATCTGCGACGTATTTGCGAGCAACGAGACACTGGAAACTCGAGTTGGCTGCTGCCCGACTTCTCGGGCTGCGTGCGGGATGAGCTGCTCATCATCTACAATCGATATCGGGCCTTGAGTGCTGGGTTCCAGCAAACGAATTCCTCAAACATACTCAAGGCCTGCTTCGATTACACCATTCAGAGACGTTCCAGCTTTCTGCCCGGCGAGGCGAGCTTCCTCATTGACATGTTGCATGAGGTGAGTGGGAAATGGCAGAAACATATTTAGTTATTTCTGGCCCATTTGGGATAAATTGATCTAATCAAGAGTGAAACTACAGCAATCAAAATCAATTCACCAATGCGGCCTGGCCTGGCCTGGCATCTTTCTTCTGCCAGAATTTAGTTTTAAATTGCTTGTCTGGACCCGGACTCTGGCTGCTTGCCGCAAAGCCCTTAACACATTCAAGCCACAGACGGCAAAAATAGCTGTTTCCAGGTACAGGCCGGCGCCAACCTCTTCAGGGAGAGCCAAAAGTCTTTTCTGCTCCTTCACAAAGCCTGGGCAACTATTTTTACACGCAAATGAATGTAAAAGCCGCTGAGCTGGAGAGCTGTAGAGCTGTAGAGCTGGAGTTGGAGCTGCTTGCCATTTTTCACACAATTTTCGGTTGCCCAACTGCAGTCAAAGAAAAGTTCTTGCTCGTCTTTAGGGTCGCCTAGCAACAATTTTTCATTTTAATGCGCACACAAATTTTCCACCTAACGAATTGCCGAGACGAGGAAGAGTCCTAGCCCTAAGAAGGTGCTCCCTGCCCTTCCCCACTCCTGTACCATGTTGTCTCAACGTTTGGTTCTTCCATCCTCATTTCACAGCTCGACACCTACCTGCAGCTGAAAGGCACCCAACTAGAGCGTGAGATGGCCGCGGAGGTTATACTGCGCATCCTGGATAAAGTCATGCAGAACTCTCAATCCTTGAACAGTCAACAGGTAAGTGCCGAGAGCCACGCCAAGCCGCTTTGGCTGCAATTGCGCATAAATTACGAGCGAGAGGACCAGTGGGGCGTTTGGGCGCAATAATTTATAACCTGAAACCATATTCAATATTTGCCAGGCATGTTTTCGACCCTACCCAGGATTTATGGCACACACACGCACTCGTATGTTCCTGTAGTTGGCCTGTCACATCCAAGCATCCGTGCTCCGATTTCTAAAATAGCCAGCAAATTGATGTCCTGCTGGCTGGTAATGAATACCTTTTTTGATATGCAATTTTCGGGTTTGTCTGTGGTATTTGCTCATTGCTCATTGCTCATTGCGACCCCAAAAGCCATGTCCTGGACTAGGACTCTGTTTGCCCTGCAAAGTTCGCCCAATAGTTGTACCTTTTAAAGTTCGTTTCACCGTCTACCCTCTGCAATCTAGGACAGCTTTTTACGCACCATTTGGCAGCATAGCTAATGGAAGGTGCTCCCCCGTCGCTTGTTATGCGGCACAAGAGGTGAGACAAAAGAGAAGCCGCGTGAACGACACTCAGTTAAGTTTCAAATATGCTGCTAATGAGCGGCAATCAAACAATTTACGCGACCCTCCGCACACCGCAGAACAAACAAAGCCAAAGGTACACCTTTGTCGCAGGACTATAAGGATAACCACTTCCTTATCACCTCGACAAAAAGGAGCAGCACTTTGGCCACTTTCTCCAGTCTCCAAATGCTGCTGAAAATTGCGTTTCGCGTTAGGCATTTCTTTTTTTTTTTTTTAAGCAACATTGTGCGTGCCTTGATGTCCTTTCTCTCCCCCCGCCAGCCCCTCCATCTGGTAGTTGTGGTTGCCCATTGTTTCCGGCTCAACGGAAGATTTCAAGTACAAGTACGGTGGGGCGGGTCGAGTGCCTCATGCATTATTCCAGTGGAAGATTTTGTATATGTACATGAAGTGCGGCATAAAAGTAAAAGAAAAGACCGGCTTCTTCGCTCCTCCAGGATAAGGCTGAAATTTTGGTATGCAAATTTATGGGAGTGTTGATTGCAACTGCTTGAATACGAAACACCACTCCAGCTCTGCTCCGCGGAGAAGCGAGGATAATTGGCCAGGAGCTGACGCTGCTTGCTCTTCAAATTTGTTGGCCTATAGACACCTCCGGCATAATCTATTTGCTGGCCTCTGCTTGCCTCTGAAGTTTAAGGAAAGAATAGCTGAACCGGTGCACGTTTTTCAAGGCATGTAAATGAATTTAGACCTGGCCCGAGCTCGCTTGAGTTATGGAATTTCAATAGTTGTGCGCCAGTAAAAAAGAATAGCCTCGAGTAGGAACAATTTATGTTCAATTTTTATTAGCTGACGCAGTCTGAAAAACTTGGCAGCATAATTGGGTCGATTAAAAAGTGTTGGCATTCGGCGAACTTTTCGCCAAAGTTGAACAAATAGTTCCCCCATTGTTTTTATTGACTGAACAAAAAACTTTAATGTAGTTCATCGAATTTCTCGCGCGCAATGAAGTTTAATTAGTGCAAGGGCAGGTGGATCCCTGAAAAGTAAATGGCCCTGAAGGCAGAGTATTACACTCACTGCTTTAAAAACAATTTGAGAGTTTCCGCAAAAGAATCGATCAGAATCATTTTAAGCCAATTCAATTAATTTTGCTTAATATTCACGCGAACTTCGCGGAAAATCCTCATCAATATGCTGATGAATAGTAAAAATCCGTGCTGGAAAATGCTTAAATCCAATTGTTGTTTATTTTTTTGCAACCATTCGGAATGGTTTCTGTGCATCTGCTTTTATTTGCCTTTGGCTGTGGGGGGAAAAGGCAATTGGAAAAGTTTTGTCCAGACGAAATTGCACATTTTTGAATGCCATTTTGCAGTTTCACCGAAATGTTAATTAAAACACTTGCATAGGTATTAGCTTCGATTTGCATCAGTTTCGTGACTGTATCGGACCTGACCTACTTCAGGATTTGGTCAAGCTGTAACTACTGCGAGCAAAACTTTCGATGGAGGGAAAGTACGAGCGGAGAACGCATTCAAATCAAATCACGACGAATCACTTAGCAAAAAGTATTCACTGCGAAACGTGACCCAAAGTCACAGGCCCAAACTTTGGGATGCGAACAAAAGTTTCACATGTGCGGCCACGCCCAGTCGGAGGCGCCCCAATGATTTGCCGGTAAACTGCCAAGCGTGGCTAGGTCGAAAGATAAGTGAAATTTGCACATGGGCAACTTTTTTGTTGTTGCCTTTGCTCTGAGGAAGTCGTACAACAGGGAGAGCAGGCGTGGCATGCCGCCTTAATGCTGCTAAAGTTGAAGATTTTTGTTTGAAAAAAGTTGTTACATAACGGCAACTTTTCCAATCGGAACTGTTTTCCATTTCGCTCAGTTGCGGCAAACAGTTGTAAAAATTCATTTTGATTTGCACCCCTTAACCCTTGCCAATACATTACAAAATTGCCAAAATCGATCATCTCTCTACGCACAAATAAAAAATAAAAAATAAAAAATAAGAACTGCCGCCATAATGGGAATTCGCATTAAAAGTTGCAAAAATCGTTGAATGGGTCCGTGGCTCGTTGTTCGACCATTGGCCTCGGCTTATGGCACTCGAGAATGAAACAATTTATGATTTTTATGGACGGGGTTCATTGACTGCATTTTTATGTTGCTTCTTGGCAGAGGCAGAGGCAGAGGCAGAGCGAGTGGTGGCCATTGATTTTCGTACGTTTTGGCAGACAAAATAGAATCTTCTTTATGTTTTCAGCAAATTAAAAAGCTGCAGCTGTTGACGCAATCGGCGGCGCTGAACCGCGAGACAATTGCGGCCTCACAATTGGCCACATCGACAAGCGGCAGCAGCCAGCCGTCGCCAGCTGACAGCTCGACAGCGCTGACCGCACAGGCCGGCGGCACTGCCAGAGAGGATGACAGCGGCAGCGACAGCGACAGCGGCAGCGGCAGTGGCTCGGGGGCAGACAACATTTCTGCTGGCTCTGCGGGAAATTTGCAAGCGACTCGCGATGGCCGAGCAGGAGCCTCCAGCATTTTGACAGTCGATGAGGACACACTGTCCCTGGATCGCCTCAACTCGCTGCGCATCTACATGACATCTGTGAAGACTCTGCCCTTCAATTTGCGTATTTATGGGTGAGTGCAAAGAACCAAGAACCAAAACCACTTCCCAATGGAATCAGACGGAGCGAGCCGTGCGCAAAGCCTGCAATAAGTTCTAATTAAGAGTGAGTGAGAGTGAAAATGCAAATTCCTGGAGTAAACTTGATTAATGTACGCGACGAAGGGAGAAGCGATTTCCCCGCTGCCTTAGCTCTTAATGGAAAATTTATTTTATGAGCAAACATAAATAATAAATGCATTAAACAAGCGAGCGAGGGCTGAGCATGAAGAATGGCTCAAGAAAGTTTCTTTGGGAAAAACTTGCAGCGAAGACGCAGACCGAGGAGCGAGGAGCGAGGAGCTCAAGCGGGTGGCTTCCTCTTGCTGGTTGCTGGTTGCTCGCTGGCCACACTCTCCTGCCAAGCTGCCAAGTGTCTAATTTAGCTAATTAAGTGTCTTAAGTGCAGGTGACTACAATTCTGCTCTCCCTTCCCCAGCGAGGACTTATTTTCGGATCAACTCTACATGGACATAGGACTATCCAGCCGCCTGCTGCACATCATGGCCAACTCAACAATATTCGCGTCCGTAATCTCGTACAAGAACTTGAAGAGTTTCCTGCCCAAAACCTACTACACCAGAGGAAGGTAAGTCTCGGGGCTCGTTGCCTTAAATTGCGTGAGAAAGTTCGCTTCAGTGCGGTCATCATTGCGCTTTCTAATTAGTTCTGCCCAAGAAAGTTCAAAGAAATTGTGTGCACGGGCGGCAATGAATACCAAAAGAAATTTAAATGAGAGAGCAGCCCCAAGGGGAATATGTCCACCCTCGCTGGCAGAGCTCTGCTTCAGCACTTGTGTTATGCATTTCACGATTGAATGTTGCTTGTTCAAGACAGTTATTCAGCGTGTTCCGACATGCACAAGTCCCAGATTATGGGCCCCAATGTACAATCTGTAAGCCATCGTTTGCTTTTGCAATCCAAACAGAAGTCACGAGCAGGCACGAGGACAAGGACAGCTTCTATGCAAAATCTTGCATGCAAATATGCAACTGTGCACACAAAACATACAAATGATAATGGACAAAAGAAAATGCACAGCAAATGCTAATAGAAATCCCAACCACAGAGCATGTGTGGAACTATTTGTTAAACTAAATCCAACTTTGATAAACTTTATGCACAGCGATCCCATGGACACGGACTATGTGCTTGCTTCGAGGATTATCCAAACCTGGCTGTTCCAGTCCAACCGATCCAATGACAACTTTCGGGAGCCACTCGATGTGCCCTTCGAGTCGGGGCACGTGGAGATCATTTTCCAACACGAAAGTGTGCCCAAAACGGGTAATTGGGTGGCCGTGTGCGGGTAAGCAGCGTGTGCAAAATCCCATTCAATTGGGTGCACTCCATTAAATCTGTATTTCATTTACTTTTATGTGCAGCCACGACTACAAAGCCTCGTTCGAGTCCACTTGGCGATCGGATCTGTGCATCACCAAGCATCTGATGGCGAACATAACCCGCTGCATTTGCCCGCTCTCCGGAACCTATGTGGTCATGCTGACCAAGCGACAGCAGAACGTAAGCCTGAGACCATGGTGAAATTAGTTACAAGGTGACGAATTCACCACAGTGCCCTCTCACCAGGAACACCTGCTCATGGTGAAATCATGGTGAAATTACTAATAAACGTTTGCTATCTCTCTCTAGCGCTTGCCTCTCTGAGAGCTAAGAGAGCGTGGTGAATAAGCTGGTTAGTAATTCTACCATGCCTGAGACGGAGACGGAGTCGGACACGAAGCGACACGAAGGTCGCCAAGGCCACTCTTTAATTTATGCCACGCCCCATGCTGGCTCCCATTCATGCAGTTCACGTGTACCAAAGTGGAAAGCTCCTTTTGATTTATGGCACTTTTAGGAGCTGCCATTTAGTGGCTGGCTGATGGCCTTGTGCCCGTACACCCCCTAGCACCTGGCTGCCATTCCTTTGTGCAGCTGCAGCTACGTCCGCATTTCCGCTTCCTTTGCTCGCAGCAAATCAACAACTTGGCCTTTGGTGCCATGAACTTGTTCCAAATGCACTCGGCTTTCGGCTCGCCTGCGACCTGCGCCGTTCTTTAAATTGTTTGCTCCTAATTGCGGCCAAGACCAAGAGTCTCCCAGGCGCACACAATTATTTAATGCTAATGCCTATTTGAATTGCTAATTGTTTGCTCTGAATTGTAATTTTTGCAGACCACGCAGCCGCATGCCCCGCAGCGGCCCATCTTCGTGATCGCCAGCTGCGCCTGCTGCCTGCTACAATGCGGCTCAGCTCTGCTTATACTGGTGCCCATCTGGTGCAATCGCAAGTGTGCCATTACCTTTCTTAAAATTCAGTTCTGCATCTCGACGGCGAGCGTGATGCTCATCTACTTGCTGGGCTTCATGAAGATGCTGCCAGTGGTGAGTTCCCCCTTCATTTCCCCCCTCTAATCAGCTTTAACTCTTTGCTCTGACTTGATCCTCTTGAAGGATTGTTGTACGTGTGCAGGCTTTAATGCATTCGCCATTGACCCTTTGAAACAAAGCCCTTCGAGTGGGAGAAGGGAACCAAAGCGTGAAATTTAATTACGCCAAAATAAATAAACAAATAAAATGGAGCAAAGGAAAGCCAAGCTGAAAGCAAAGCAAACCGAAAACCAAAAAACCAAATATACACACAAACAACAACGAACACGAACAAAGAGAGAAAAGTAAAATGCATAAAATAAAGGGGATTGGGGAGTGGGGAGTGGAATGGGGGCAGTGCGTGCACAAGACGTGGAAGAGAGAGGCACAAGTCGGCACAATCGAAACACAAATGAGTTTCTCGCGCTCTTAAAGGCAAGCAGAGAATTCCCAGCGGCCAAACCTTAAATTATAATTATTTTCTGTGTCTTTAATCATTGCCATTTCCCCACCGACATGAGTGTTATTCCACTTTTAAAACAATAATCACAGTCAGCGAGCTGGAGCTCTAATCATAATCAACACAAATTAGCGTGTCGTCTGGCAAAGTCTTTGACCAACTCAAGTCAGCAATGCAGCGGAGGCGGAGGCAATGCAAATAATTTACATTTAGTTTGTGTGGCAGCCAAACGGAAAATTCATTGAAAACAATTCCCTTACCTGGCTGCTGGCTTGGATGGAAATTAAAAGTCAACAATGCTTAGCGACGGAGCAGCGCTGCCTGGAGGAGGAGCCAACTAGAATCGAAATTAATATTTATAAACGCACATTCCCAAACGTTTGAAGCCGGGTGCAAAATGTAAATGGGAAAAAGGGATGCGACCCACCCCAACCCCATTGCAAGAATCTGTGGAAGTCCCCGAAGAACCCGACAAGAACCACCTAAATTATAAACGTAAAAAGTATAAGCGAATAAAGTTGCGCTACTTAATCCCTTGGGTTGAGCTCCTGCGAAGACAGTTACTGCGAGCTGAGAGCTCTTACAAGAAAATAACATGTTTGAATTAGTAATAAACTGGTCCGCTGTGAAAACAACGGCTCAATAAATGGATGAAAAACAAATAAAACATTGTGTGCGACAACGGCGAACGAACGAAGGGACAGCAAATAACAACAAAGGCAGAGAGTCAGACAGAGATAGAACTCCGCCAGCAAAAGCAAAAGAAACGAAAACGAAAAGGTTTAAGCAATAGAAATGGAAAATGAAAGCGAAAACGAAAACGAAAACGAGGAGTTGCGGGACTTTGGCTAAAACGCTGACAAAGGCAAACCCACAAAGCTTCCTTTGAATCCTCTCCTGCCACGTATGGCAAAATGGATGAGTTATAGACGCAGAGTTTGGTGCTTTGAATGGCGATATCTTTGCATGCAGGAAGTCTTTGTGCTACAGCAATTCTGCCTGCTCCGAAGACATGTGACTGAGGATGTGCACTAGCGTTATAATGAGCGACTTACGTCACAAAGACTGACAGCCTGTGGGCTCTGGCAGCGCAGCAAAAACACGCCAAAGGAAAACTTTGTCTTAATAAGACGAGGCGGCGCTTCCACTTATTATTATTGCACATTAATTTCGCGCACATGCGGGCAGGGCAACTTTATTAAAAAGTAAAGCACAGGCATGTGAACACATGCAAATTTTATGGTCTGGAACACGTGTCACAGCGGAGCGAGGAGCAGGAGAGGAGCTGCCAACGGCGACGGCCATCAACCACAGCAACCAGACCATGGACCATGGAGCATGGAGCATGGACCAAGCCACAGCCACGCCCACGCTCGCGCACACGCCCACTCAATGACACAATAAATACAATTAAAATATTCATTTTACTTATTGTATATATTTGCGTGCATAAATAAAATACAATTTCAGCACGACAGTTAAACGGAACGAGAAAAAAACAATAAATAAATAAGAAAACATAAATTACGTTACGACTCGCTGCGTCCCCCGAAGGCATGAAGCACGAGGCGGCGTCGGCGGCGGCGGCGCGGCGTGCCGCTGCAGCAGAACATATGAAAAGCAAAAGCTTTTAAGCGCACTTAACTCATAATATTCCGCTGTATAGCAGCGACGATGTGGAACGTATTCGTATTCGTATTGTAAATTGAAAATTCACAAAAAAAAACGCTGACAAAAATTTGTTTTTCTTTTCCCTGAAGGCTAAGCGGGCAATATATTAATTTCGCGACGACCTCGGCTCTAGTCACCTGTGAGTAACAGATATCAAATGATGCTTAAAGCAGGAACAAACATTTTCGCACACAAAAAGCGTGTGGCACCAAATATGTAATGGACTAGCAGTGTGCCACAGATAAGGAGCCACAAAAAATAGAAAGCAACGAAATGTTTTACATCTTTTTAAGAACTTATGTCACAATCATCTAGGCGAATGTAGTCATAAAAAATGTGACGAGATTTCATTGTTTGAGTTGTAAAAATGATGACGAGCGAAAAATAACTTATATTGCCTGGCTGGTTGGTTGACAACTTCTTGTGTTTAATTAAAAAATAATGATGTTGCAGCGAGTCGGCCGCCATTTCCTTATTAACGTTCCATCATAATTTCCTCTTTTGCAGAACTGGCACGCCATCATTAGCAGCTCGCTGGCATCGCTGTTATTGCTGGGCGTCTCAACGCTGATTGCGATTGCCTTGGTCATACACACGGAGCTGATGCCCAAGAAGTATCTGCAAATTGGCAGCAAGCAGCCGGCGACGCCCACCAACAAAAGACGCCGCGAGCGGGAGAGTTTAAGCAACATTACCCAAATACGCGCCCAGTCGCCGCCGGTGGGGGCTGGCAACAATCGGCACAGGCCTCAGGCCGTGAGCGTCAACAGGGATTCCTCGTTCGAGGGCGGTGCGGCGGGCATACGAGGCGCCATTGGCATTAGCTGGCTGCTGCCGCTACTCTTCGCTGTGGCCGCCCCACTAATCTGCAGCATCATTGGCAAGTGGCCGCGCCACTGGTGGCTTGATATTCTCTCGACAGTGTCGTCTTCGGATGACGCTGCCAGCAAGTCCGACTCCGAGCCAACGGAGTCTGATGGCGGCGGCCTCTACTATTCAACGCATTCGCTACTCAACGGCGATAATTTACTGCTGGAATCGGAAGCGCTGCTGGGCAATGCAACGAGCTCTCCAGCTGAGACATCCTCAAATGGGTTGGACGACGTCGATGTGGCCACGTCAACGTCATCAATCAGAGCCAGCAACGACAGTCATGGCATGGCAGTCGCCGTAGCTGCGGCCTCGACTTGGCCACAGCAACAACAGCAGCAGCTGCCCGTTAGCCGTTACTCCTCTTATACCTCAGGGTATGGACAGGCCGCGACTTTAACTTCCGGCCTGAGCGAAGCCGGAGCGGCTCTGCCATCAACATCGACATCGACGCCGTTGTCGCCATCTCTGAGCTTCATCCTGTTCGTTTGCATCGATTTTCTTTTCGTTTTCCTTTTCTTTGCGCTGTTTGCCATTTTAATGAAGAAACTTTTGTGGTTGTGGCACAAGAATCGCAATGTGCACACGCATCCGTTGGATAAATTCAATCTGGCTTTGCAAAGGCGGTAAGTCCAATGAAAACTCAAATTTAGATAAAACAAAAACTTTACTTCACAAAACAAGCTAATCTAAGCTGAATCAGCTAAATCATCAGCCGCAACAATCGCAGCTTAAAATTCATCCATTCGCTTTCTCTATTCCGACAGGCTTGGCCTACTTTATAGAGCAGGTGGATTGCTGCTCGTTAAACTATGCACCGATGGGTTCTTCATTGTTTATGTTAATTCATTACCGGATACTTTGTGGGGATATCCGTTTGGCATTTCGTGTATCATATTGGTAAGTCTAAGCCCCAAAGGGGATTACTAACCAAACATACGTAGTACAACTGCTACTTATGCAAACGATTGGATTACAGGTCGTAAGTTCAATTGTAGTACGCTCGAAATTCGCAGCGAAGCTCTCAAAACTATTGGCTTGGGGTTTTTGGGTTCATTCTATCCGTGGGTTTTACATGTAAATCGAGTTCTTTTCGACTTTTTCATGTCTTATTAAATGTGCATATTTCATCAAAGCTTAGAGACTGCATACATTTACAGTTGACGGTGAAATTATGCATGCAAAAACAACGAAGAGAGAGAGAGAGAGAGAGTATGAGAGAGTGCGACAAAAACCACGCTCGGCAACAAACTGCTTGCTCCTCACGCCGACTGCTTTAACGGCCAGATCAAAGTGACGGAGAAGCCTTTTTGTGTTTATTTTGCACTTGCCACTGACACTTGGCTTTGGTTTCCACCTCCTCAAGCTGTTATTGTTTTCTTTTTATTCCCTCTCGTCGTTGATTTGCTGTGCAAAGTAAATAAGTGCGCTTGACTCTTCCACCTTTGGCACTTGGCACTCGCAAGAGTATATCGTTTTAACGGGTTCCAAGAATGCGACGGATGACTAATGTCAGATATGTCAGATATTTACAGTAAGCAGAATTCCCCTGCTTGGGCAAGCTTACATCTGGGAGCGACGTGAATCATCCCCTCTCAGGCTTCCATGTCTGCAGCTTGTGGCTCTCTTTCGATACTTCCCTCTCTTTCTCGCAACACGCTCGTATAACGCTCTCGAGTTACCGTCTCCCTTTCTGTTCTTGAACATCTTCGCTCTCCCCACGCTTGCTCGCTCTAACACTAACAACAACGCAACTATGAGAAAGACAGCGGAGAAACGGTGCGTGCATAGCGATGGCATAAGCGGTGACCAATAACAAACGGTAAAGTACAAAGAAGACAACGGAAAGGGAACACTGCAAACAATATTTAGATCCGACACATACTTGTACCATTTTTCTATTCCTGCTTTATTCAACGATTCAACGCTCTACGCACGCCCCACAACTCTCAGCTCACAATCCAATTAAATAAACAATTATCTACACAATCCAAGACATTGGGCGGGTGTATCCTTGCAAAACTAATCACATAATTACACGCACCCACTTTGATGTGGGAAGGGACGGCAAGTGAGTCGTCGGCATGTGTAGCGCATTCGGCACATTCAAATTCAAATACAAACAAATTAGGTCGAGGCCCGTTCTTGAATCGAAACCGCAATGTCTACAACAACCCTCTCCATGTTGGTGGTCTGGGCTATTAATGTGCACCAAAATCACTTTGACTGTGGCCATGGGCATGGGCATGCTCTGTCTGCGTTCCTATTTAATTATTTAAGCAGAGACCAAAGTACACATGAAAAGTTCCAGGAGTCTTCCGGCACATGTGAGGGAAATCAATACAAGAGAACCATTTGGCACCTCGAGCCTGAGCTTTTTCGCTAATTTCGTAATTAATTCGGGCGAAAAATCCCAGCCCGGAATCTGATGTCTGTCTGCCATAAATTCCAATCTTGAGTAAGGACATAAGAACAAGGAATGTAGTGGGACTGGTCAGCTCCATCGATTTATATTTCTTTTTTGGTCATACATTTCCCAATCGTTTGCTTCGATTTTCATGTTGGGGCACTCCGAGAGCAAAGGATACCTTTAATTGAAGTCACTTTCGATATTTAATGACTCAATCGACTTGATAAGCCCCCTGCTGTTGATACACCAATTTTATTAGGGTCAAGCCAAAGTCAGTGGAAGCTTTACTACAACGCACTAACAAACCCATCCATTTGCAGGGCTTTGGCATCCTCTTTTGTTTTATCATCAAGGCTGAGAGCCAGCTGCGAGGGCCACCGTTTCTGAGCAGCAACGGCAGCAGTCAGAACAGCTCGTTAAAGCAAACAAAGTTCAGCACGAGCAGGAGCAGCCTGGACGACAACTACTGCACTACAACGGCGAACGTCAACAGTCCGTTAAGCTGTAGGTTGTCGCCATGGGAACTGGGAACCACTAGTTAAATGATGCCTAACCCAAAATCCTTTTGCAGTCTACACCAACCATGACAAAGAGAAGGAGAACGACTGTGCGCTATCATTGTCAATGACGAACTCAAGAGCAACAGCAGCAGCAGCAGCAGCAGCTGAGGCAGCTTCGTCTGGAGAAAACGCCCCACCACTGCAATCAAAGGTGGGCCTGGAGTTGTCTGGTGCCCATGGAGCTGCCGTGCAGCTGCCGCTGACAATCATTTCAGCTTCGCCGCGTTGCCAGGCAGCTGCAGCTGTTGCAATTGGAAGCTCGACGGAGACCTTCCTCGGTGACCGTCAAACGCTGCCAGCGACTGTTGCGCCTTCGCCGGACACACGATGCTGCGCACTTCTTGGTGGAGGCAAGGCATACGACGCATACACGATGAGCATGGGGATTGGGGGACTAACAGGTAGCCTTGGAAGACGAACTTTGCATCAGCATCAGCAACAACCGACTCATTTCCGGTCGGGACCATGCGGGGACTTTGTGGGTGTCGAGACACTGGACATACTTCAAGGTGTAGCAGCAGGTAGGTGAACCCAGCAGCTGCCTACGTACTCGCATGTCCCCAATCGAAACAGTAGTAGCACAAGTGCAAACGGGACCATTATCCATCTCCTTGCAGATAGCATAATTGGAATTCACACCAGCACCATGATGCCCTCGTCGGCCACGTCCGCCTCTCACTATGTTCCGCTGCAACATAATCCATATGTTGACTTTGTGCCCAGCTCGCTTATCCTCAGCCTGCCCGCTCCTCAGCTGCTGCCACCGCCGACCATAAGTGGCAACTTGAGCAGCTCTGGCATGTCCAATGGCACACTCTCGATGTCCTTGCCCACACCAAACCCCAAGACCCAGAAGCGAGTGACCATTCTGGAACCCACGTCGAGGGCTACCTTCGATCCTCTGCTACCCACAATGGTGGCAGCCGTTGTCTCCACTTCTGTGGCGACAACGACGGCGGCTGCAAATCCTATACCTACGCAAGGTGGTGCCAATGATGCCACACTCGATCGCATCACCATGGACCTCGATTATTTACTGAATAGGGGAAATTTGGAAAACGCGGAAGGAGGAGGAGCGCCATCCGAGACGCACAACTGAAACTACGGCAAACAGCAGACAAAGTGAAGGTCTCTCTGACACAAAGATGCATTTACGAGGCTTCGATTTTGAATATCAAATGTACATAAAAACATGCAAAAATATTTGTAAATAAATCGACTAACACAAACACTAAACCTAAAGTTGAAAGCTCTGTGAATATTTATGTTTTTTATGCATTAACTAAAGTAAAAGCTCTACAAATATATCAGGCAGTCAGCAATTATCGGTTAGATTGGAAAATGATCATTTAAAAGTGATTTCGATTCAGATTAGGATTACAAAACTTTACTAAGCGACAAAAACCAACCGAGAGAATTTAAAGAAAAAGGTAACTTTTTAGCTAGTATTTACAACAAAAAGAAAAGGGTACTAAACATAACAATATGAAAATTATAAATGATAAATGAAAGAGCTAGAAGAAGCTTTGATTTCGATGAAAAGTTTTGCTAGTTAAGATCCCATTTAAGATATAAAAACTTACAAAATGCAATAATTGTAATACCGATAAGAATAACAGGAATATTTCTGCAAAACTTTAATTATACAGATATATCTTTAAATAAACTCAAGACTCTTGTTAGAAAAATCGAAACTAAACATTATTTGGGATGGCAGAAGGGAGCTCTTCCATCAATCAACTTACATAGCACTTTGGTTGTAGTCTCTGAAGTGGTGACACAATCCAAAAACTAGTGGAAAAAGCTAATTGTTCTACAACAAGTTGGTGATGGTTTACCATCACCATAAAGAAAACCAAACCCCATGCAAATTCCGCTTGTTATATTATGTTTAAATAAGTTTCATAGAGTACAACATCATTTAAGTCTACCTTCCACACATCTGCCAGACCATTGTAAATGGGTATTTTACAACACTACCACGTGGCCCATCAGGTAAGTGATATTCTCGCTGCGTATTGCGAAGAAAAATGGATGATCGGCGCGAAAGAACTTTTGACGGGAGGAGTTGCTGATCACAATGGGTTTATACTCTGACAAAAATAGAAGTGGCTTTGAATGATTTTGATACATTTATGATATAACTTACAACTTACCTGCTGCGACTCTGGTTGGTTCCGCGCCAGAACCAGACTCATTTAGATTTATTCGCAGCTTTTGGAGCACGTCGCAAACGGGCAGCTGACCAGCGGGATGCAAATGTTTAAAGTTCGCTGATGGCAAGAAGATCTCCTCGAAACCGAGCTAAAAATAGAAATATATTTACAAATATTCCCCAGCTTCTGTCAGCTACCGACCTGTTTCAATGGCTGCCGCAAACTGCACTCAAAATCGATATTGAATTTGGGAAGCAGCACCTGAACTCCCTCCATTTGCATGGACTGCTGTAATGTGCCCAAATCAATGCCGCGCAACTGATTTTCCAGTTGCGAAAGTCCATCGCGCTGGTTGGGCAGGATGAGCAGCATGGACAGTTCTTCGGCGTGCTCGTAGGGCAGTTCAATGGCACGAGCGTTGAGTTCCCTCAGTTCCGCGTACTTCACAAACATGTCATCGTCGAAGAGCATAGCCACAGGCTTCGATGAGTCGAGCGAGCCATTGCTGTGGAACTCGTAGAGACCCGTACGGTATGCACTGAAGGGTAGAAACCACTTGCTGTGCAGGTTCGCCGCCAGCAGGAGGAGCAGTTTGGCCGCAGGACTACTCTCCACAAGAGTCGATTGCCAGTGGCCGCCACCAGCGCTGGCCAAGATGTGTTCGCCTATGTGACGTCGCAGCTTCTCGCTGTGTTCCATGTTGAGGCTCTCCGCAGTCACATGAAAGTATGTTTGAGCAATTTTCTGAAAGTCTTCAGCTAAGTCTGCGCCACTAGATCCGCTTTGTGGCTGTATCAGAAAGCGATTCTGCAGCTCAAAGTGAGTGTCCGCATCGCCAGTTACGTTTGCCAGCTCTGCCGCATAATAGTTGGCCATTTTGGCATTGCTGGGAAAGCGTTGCTTAAGCCGCAATAACTTCTGGAATTCTTCGGCGGTGGCACCATCAGAGCCCAGGTAGAGCAGTGCCAGGCTGGCTTCCAGCAGCAGCGGCGATATGACCACATTCTGATCGATGGCCGTTGAGGCAATGCTGTGATAAATCTCCGCAGCGAGATGGCTCACAGGAGGCTCGGCGGGGCCTTCACTCATATTTGGCTCAGATCAGCGCCCTGCGATAGAATGCTGTAAAATAAGGGAATGTAAATATGAATCAATTGTTGGCACATGTTTCCAATTTATGATCCATTAAAGGCAACTCTCTTGGCATCAGATTGCCCTTCAGTTGAATGTGAAACACTTATTTCCATTTAAATTCAACTCCAAGGAGAAAACTTTCCTAATACGATTTAATTCAATGCTTTTAATGCCCAAACAAGACCCTAAGAAATCAAATCAAATAAGAGCACACGGCATACAAAACCGAAATGACTAAATAAATAAAGGATGCAGGAGCACACTGGGCCAAACTTGACACTATTTTGGGCAAAAGTAAACAAAACGGAAGCGCCGAGGCGGAAAACTCTCTGACAATGCTTTTGGCCATATATTTTGCGGCAACTTTTAATTTCACGCGAATTTTGGTTTTGGTCTATTCTTCGCCGTTGTGGCGCCCACTCCCTCCCTCCATTCCCTTAACCAATTCCGAGTTGCATTCCATGGCGATTTTTATGCGGCGCGCACACTTTCTGCTTGCTTAATAGCCCCAGTCCCAGTCCCAGCACCATCAACAAACTGCACCCCAACCCTCAGCCCCAAATGGATTCCAAGCGGATCCGCCCATGAAGAAACTATATAAGGAGGTCTCGTCGGTAAAAATTAGGCAAACGTGCGAGTGAAAAGTGCGAGTGAAACGGCTTTTTAGGGGCTGTAAGTGTGAGGGCAACGACAATGGAGTGTGCTGATAAATCATTTGAAGGCAATGCGAAAAAACATAATAATTGCTTCATAATTTAATTGTAAATAGTTTGCTACATAATAATTATTAGGAAAAGCAACAAGTAACTCTGCCACCGACGAGGCCTCCTTATAGTTACTTCATGGATCCGCCTACGCTAACGACAACAACGTCACTGCTCTCGCTCTCTCTCTCTCTCTCTCTCTTCTCTCTCGCTGTATAAGTAGCGCCTTCCTCTAATACTACTTATACTGTATATATTGTTTTTGTTTATTTTTGGTACGCCAATTTTTGTTTTCTTTCTTTACGAAATTAACTACATATATCATGAGTTTAGTTGTTTTTTGTTTTTTTTTTTGAATATTTAAAGCCTCTATTGCAAAATAGAGCGCACAATTCACATCCAACGTTAATGGCTGAGTGGCATATGGCAAATCCTCACTGGATTTTCCCTAGCTGCGTGCTGCGTGCTGCTTGCGAGGTCATGGAATCGCTCTCGAAGTGGCATCATCAACCACAATAGTTTTTGGTGAATAATTCAAGCACAAATCAGAATTTACTCTGATCAAATTCAGTATTTACATTGTTAAAGGTAAAATGCACATTTTACCTAGATATACTTTTCTCTTTTACCTTCACAAATATTGTTAGAAATTCTATCGAGTTAGTGCCGAGCAGAGAAAAACAGACAATTATATAAAGTTTGTGCTGGTAAAGATCCACGCCCGCACGCAGCTTCGCACAAAAATCAACTAAATTCTCGCGCGCTCGGAAACAATAAAAGAATACAAAAAGAACCAATTAAGTTTTCCGCCAGCGCTGCTCACACTCGCCGCCTCCATCGATGACGACACTTGGGCAATGCGGCGGGGAAAAGCTCTAGCTCTGGCCAATGTCTTCGTACTGGTACAAATTTTCGGCAAACTACTTTTCCGATGCTACATTTTAAGCTATTTTTATAATTTGTTTGCCGTGAATTAAATTGAAAAATACTTACGGTGGACTGCCTGCCTCTGCATAGGGTGTGGGTGTTCCGCAGCGTCCGACCGTCCACCGTCCACCGTTCATGAGTTTTGGTTTTTGTGTTGGACCGCTGCCTGCCGCGGATGCTGATGCTGCTATCTGTCCCGTCACTTTTGATTGAATTGAGCTGTGTGGTTCGTTTTGTGTTTCCATAGTTCTTGTTTAATCATTTTATCTAATCTGGATTGGGGTCGCTGTGCGCGTATATGGGTGATTTAGTGTATACATGTGTACTCTCGTGTAGCTGCAGATGGAGAAGCAGTGAAGTTAGTCCGCAACGGTGTCCAGTTCACATTTGATCTATCGCCAGAGGATTTATTAGCTCACATTCTTAACGATAAATATAACCATTCTTAGGACGATTGTTCTACCCAGCGCTCTTTAAAGATCCGAATAATCTGATCTGATCAGTGTAATTGTTCACTCCAATTTGGCGACGAATGAAAATTCTGCCGAAACAAACAAGAAATTTACAAACAAATTTCTCAAAAATATCTACAGCTTACATACATGCCTCAGTGGCGACACCTAGCGACGTGGATCATGTATAATTCACGTCACTATTTTAGAATATTTATTTTATTAATTTCATTTCAATAAAATTGTCTACAACATAACTACAGCTTAACTACAAGACTCAGTGACGACACCTGACGGCGTAGATCTGATATAGAATATAGACACACACCACATGGCAATTTTACATGTATAAATCATGTCATTGTTACTCACATATATTTTATTTTATTTAATCACAAATGCATCAATCAGTAATGTCGATTTGTGAAAGAGTACATATTCTCGAACAGTAATTAAGGGTACAATTTAATGACTGATAAGATAAATGTATACGAATTGGGAAAAGAATATAATTAATCATGCGAACAATTCATTTTTTATTCATGAACTAAAAATACAATATTACGAATCAAGGATGAGGACATTGGTGCTGGGATTGTAAATTGTTGTAATGCTTGCGCGCAGGTGGATAGGAGAAGCATAATCTGTATACATAAATAAATACTAACAACCTAAAATAATGTTTGAAACGGGGGCCCAAAAGGTTACCAAAAACACCACACATACTTTTCAGGTTGACGACCTAAACAACCGTCACAGGGCAATGCTCTAACAGCACAGCTGAGTCGAATGGTTGCCTTCACGTGTTAAAAAATGTAGCAAATTATTGTAAAATGCATTACCAGAGATTCAGTTAATCCGTAGGAGTGGTAAATGGCTTCCCGTATCACCCAATGAGGTGGGAATGTCATGCTGATACAGGTAAGCAAAAATATCTGTGTCTGTTACTCTCCAAATGCTTGAGTGTGTTCTGTTTTTGGGTTAGTTTTGTGTGCTGTGTGTAGAAGATGACAATGAGGGCACTAAGTGTGAGCCTATCGCGATGGAAAGGTTAAAGTTGTTTGACGTGGAATATGTACTTGGCATAGTATATAGTATGTATGAGGGATGAGTGATAAAATAGGCCTAGAATAAATAGCCACCCTCTGGAGCCTTTGGCTGAGTGGCATTAAATTCGAGGGCTCCATTTACTTCCTGGGGTGCGAGCTCTTGTTCGGCCTCGTCGTCGCCATTGCTGAAGTAGGTATCGATAATAGCGAAAGCCTTCTTGTACACCTCTTCGTTCTCGTGCTGTTGCAATGTTTCCAGTTTATCCAATCCGCCCATCTCCTCGACCATGAGGCAGAGATTTTCAGTGCCGCCAAGTTTCTCGGCCAGCGCAAAGAGATTGGCCAAGCCCGTCTGGACAACTTTGATGGTGCGTGGATCTTTGGCATCGAGCAAGTCAATGAATGGCTTCAATATTTTGAACTTCTCGATCAGATCCACAATCTGCTCAGGGGTGCCCGATGTTGTCGTGTTGGTCACTGCCCAAGCGGCCTCTTTTTGTGCCTTGAAATCGCCCTTCTCGAGCACGTGGCGTAGTTGTTGGAATATGCCAGCCTGAATAACTGCTTGGATTTGCTTCTGATTACCTGCTGTTATATTACTAACAGTCCAAGCAGCCTCCTTCACAATGTTGCTCTTGTTGTGCTGCAGCAGCAGACCCAGTCGGGGCAAGCCACCCGCAGCAATAACAACATCCGTCTGTAAAGAACAATTGGCATTAGCTAATAGCCCACAAAGTAACATTCGATTCTGTCTACTGACCTGTACATCGGTGCCAGTGACAATGTTGCCCACACTGCGCAGTGCTGGCACAATAATGCTCGGCTCATCCATTTGCAAAAGTTTTACCAACCTAGGAACTGCATCCGAGTCAACGACCGCCTGAATCTTGTTGTTGTCATCATCGGTGACATATGACAAAGCCCAGCAGGCGTCGGCTAATACCTGAATATCTTGACTAAGCAAAAGCTGCGACAGGACTGGCAGTAATATTTTCACTTGTTCAAAGGGCGGCGAAGGATTCTTGTTGCGGCACAGATTCGACATCAGCCAGACAATGTTCCGCAAAAACGAAAGCGGAGTCTCGTTGTTAATCAGCGGCAAAATGCCCTCGATGACATTATGTTGAATTACAATGTCCCGAGCAGCGGCTCCATCGCCGGCAATGTTACCCAATGCCCATACGGCCTGCTCCGCAAGATTGATGGAGTTCGACTGCAGCAGAGCAACGAAATGCGGCACCGCATTGTGCTCGATGACACAGCGTGTCTGGTCAGATGTTCCCGAGGCAATGTTTGTCAATGCCCAGGCTGCCTCAAACTGCAACATGGTACTGAGGTGGTGGTTGGAGGGGGTCACTGTAACGTACAAACATACAGCTGATGGTTTACTTACTTGCTGGTGTTTTGAAGAAACCGAATGCAGATGGGTACGATGCCATGGCCAATCATTAGATCAATGGGTGGATTGCGCTCGCGGCTCAACATCTTGCGTGCCGACTGCATGCCCATGAACTGCCTGTCCTGATCCTCGCTGTTCATGGCCGCCACAATTTCATCCACCGACAGCTGCACCGGCGACTGGCCATTTAGTTCTTTCAGCGGAGAGGTGAGGTCTTCATCGTTGATGTTGCGACGCTTGAACATCTGATCCTCCTTCTTGGACTTTCGCAACTCGATGGTAACCTCATGGCGACGCATGCGAGAGTCCTACCAGATTAGCAAAAGTGAGGTTAATTCCGACCCCGCCTTGGACCGCTGCAACACGTACCTGCGTATTAATTGTGTTTGACTTGTACGAGCCCTGGCGTGTATTTGCATCCGCTTTACTCATGACGAAAATTTTGTTTTATTCAAATTATTGTTCAAATAAAATTTTGATTAGCTCCAGTTGCTCCTCGAATGACAAGTGTAGAGTGTAGAACTGAAATAAATGATGTTGCAAAGAAGTGTGAAAGACGAAATGACAAGGGCTGCTTTGATTTATTTCTTCCTTTTCTTTGCTTCTCCTTTTGAGCGAACGGCGCTAAGCAGAGATCGCAAAGGCGGCAGAGTGATAGAGACGAAAGAAGAGAAGGCAAAGACGCAGGCAGAAAGACCGGCTTTTCGGAGGCCCATGCCAGAAACAACAACAAAGCAACAGCTGCAGGCAGCCGCCATTTGCACACAGGCGAAGGCGCTGCATTCGCGAATTGCGATAGAGACAAGGGAACGGACGGACGGAAGGGGTACACAAAGGGCACGGAATAGGGGTCCCTTTTCTTTACCTTCAGGTTATGTGCAAAACGCGTCGTCAATGCGTGCGTGTGTGCCTTCACGTTTGGTTAAAAGCACTTACAATTTTACACGATTTTTTTTTCACAAAAATTTTCTACTTGGCAACTGAGAAATGAGGAGAAAAATGTTTTACCGTTTAATTTGAAAAGCAAGCTTGTGTTTGGGCAGTGTGACCGTTGATTTATCGTCAAATATACCGCCGATCCTCAGAAATATACCGAAATATACCATACAGTTTCAAAATATACCGTAGTCTTAAATCACATTCCTCGATTTTGATGTTCTATTTAATATTAATAGGTGGAAAAGACTTTTAACACTGGAAAAATAGTTTAATCCGTTTCAAGAATAAATTTGGCTTGTTATAATTTCTCCTTTTTTTTTTGATTGTAGGTCTAATGACCTTATTATGTACAAATTTGTGTTTGAACTTTCCATTCGATGGTCAGGGAAATCCTCTCCTGCGTCTAAACGGTCAGAGCGTGACCGCGAACTTATCGATCAAATATACCGCCTGATCCTTAGAACTACACCGAAAAATATTGTTATACAGTACTTTCTCTATAATTTTCCTGTACTGGCACAGTTTTATGAGAATGTTAATCGAATGCGCATGAATATTGTTTTAATATATTTTGCAATGGTGCGGTGTTGGGCATCGTTTAATTTACTGTAAAGGGTCACTTGTGAACTAGTTCTTCGTTTCAGCTCGCTCGTTCAGATCACCGACCTTGTCTTTCGGCGAGTGAAATCTGCAACTAGAAATTGCCCGCCAGATTCGAATATCAAAGAAAGGGGCCCTCGTTGATCTTAGATCCACAAATGTCTTGGTCAAAATTGTTCTCCCTGTAAATGCACACAAGTAATTCAGCTGAGCTGAATCTGCAAATCTCGTTGGCAGTTTAAATATTAACGCTTAACGGTTCTGGCTCATGCGCAATTGATTGTTGAATAATGAGACGACAATGATATTAACTCTTGTAATTGAGTTAAAAGTTTTAAATACAATTAATTAAATTTCCGAATACTTATTTAACACCCTCAACATGAAATTGTGGAGCCGCGTTGTAATACAATTTTTTGTTTCGTTTCCAATTTATTTCGCATTTATTGTTTCAACAAATTTCAGGTGTGTCACAATCTAGGCCGACTTTTTGTCGTCTCCACTGTTCTCCTCGTTAACAGGCGCTGGTGCGACTGTGGAGGTGGTGTTCTCGCTGGGGGCAGCAGAGCGCGCCTCAACCACATCGGAGTCATCGTTGTTGTCCACGGCAGCGGGAGGGGCGGCTGGCGAGGCAGGGGAGTAGGGAGGGAACTGCTGATCTTGGGGGTAGTCGGGCTGCTGCTGCTGTTCTTGTCCTTCGGTGTAGTCCACAGGAGTGGGTTCAAGCTCGGGCTGTGTCGGTGCCTCTACAACTTCACCGTGCTGCTGGCTGACCTGCTGAGGGGGGGAAGCGAAGATGTGCTGCTGCTGCTGGTGGTGGATTTGCGTCTGCTGAGGGTAGTATATGGGTGCAGGCAGAGAGACGACAGGGGCGGAACGGGCGAGTACGAAAGGCTCTCGCTGGACCACGGCATTGAATCCGTTGATATCGTCAGCGGTGTAGGTTACCGTACGCTTGAAGCCATCGGCATCGAGCACGCTATACGAGCCGACCACATTGCCACCGTCGCGGGTCTCCGCTTGGCTCTTGATGTCTCCGGTCACGGAATCGTGCACTCCATAGGAGAAGTCGTAACGTGGCGCCGACTCCACCTCCACGTGCTTGACACTGGCAACAGCTGGCAGGGCATAGGACTTTGTGTAAACGGGCGCCGCGGGCACCACGCTCTTGGCCAGCACTGGAGCCACGTGTTGGTAGACTGGAGCGGCGTACGCCTGCTGATAGACGGCTGCTGGAGCCTGGTAAGTGGCATATGTGGCCGGATGGTAGCCAGCGAATCCTCCGCTGCAGCAGCCGGCGATCGCCAAAAGGGAAACAACAGTCAGAACCTGTGATTGGAGGGGAACCACTTCATGAGCTGTTGAAATGTGTCTTTGGATCCTTCGACTTACTTTGGCTTGCATTTCGAAAGATTGACTGGCACTTCAGTATCCGTGTTTGTTGTGAGAATGAGGCTTGAATTCCCCGACCCAACTCTTGGCGTTGCGAACGACGTTGACTTAATGATGCGGTTCACTCCCGTCGCTTGTCACTTTATATGGGGCGACACAGCCCCCAACAGAATTAGCCATAAGAAGTGGCGCTGTGGCCAAACCAGTAATGGGCACAAAAGTAGTTGACAATATTTGACAATTGTTCGCGAAACTGGTTTTTGTCTTCGCTTTGGTATCGATTTCGGACTCGGTTTCGTTTTCATTTCGTTTCGAACTTTGATTTCAAGTTCAGCCCATTGCCGCCGCTTCCTTGTAGGCCTACTGCGGGGTGTGAGCGTAATTAATTGCGATTTGAGTACCATTCAATTAACTTTCCCATTGTCAACTCAGCACCTTTTCACGGCAGCCCCCCCGCAGGCATTTTTAGCCATTACACCACGCTGTGGGTTCAGCACTTGACACTCATTTTGTTTTTCTTCGAGACATGCGCGCCAATGGAGCGCAAAAATCGTCGTCAGGTTAGCCCCCTCTCTACCTGCCGCAAATAAATAGAGGGGAGTTGTCACTTTTGCTTCACTTTGGATGCCCGTTTGTATGTCAGTAGCGTTTGCTTCATTTGCGGCATGATTTTCAGTTTTTCGTTTCAGAAAATTTATTTTTGTTCCCATTTCGTGTTTACTTTATGGTGGGTGTCCATGGTTGTACCCACCACCAAGCAGACAATTGGCACAGTTATGTACGGTAGGTACATGAAATATCTCTCAACAACTGTGCCAAAGCGGGTTACTAATTATAGAGCTCCTTTTATTTCTTGGAACACACCTGAATGGGACACTCTCTGAGGTCAAATATAACATAAAGTGGTAGAACGATTTTCTAAGAATTTGAGTTTTAAGACTTTGAAAGGAATACAAAATTACAAAAGTTTATGCTAAATGTCCCCACAACGAATCAGCAGCAGCTGCTCCAGCTCCATCAGGGAAAAATGGACAAGAACGGAAACGGGTCATTGGATGTGGGACTTTAATTAACACCAAAAGTACTGAAGGTCGGTCCGAAAAGGTTTTTCTTGGAAATTCCCCCATAGACCCGGAAAAAGTTGTCAACTCATTTTAGCGGTTCGAATCGTTGGAATTAAGCGATTTCAAGGAACTCTGCGGCCCATTTGGAGCATTACGCTGAACTTGAAATAAGAGGCGATCGCTGTTCAAACCAAATTGAAAGTGCGTGAAACGTCCATGGGCCATGGGCCTTTGTGCACGGCTCGTCTCAGAGGTTGGTGTGGTGCCATAAACATCCGATTACAGTGCCCGAACACGTACCACAGCCCATCAAGATGCGTAGGCAGACAATAACGGAAAGAGAGAGAGAGCGAGAATTATTGAGATGATATGCACATATGGAGCTCAAATGCTGGATTTAGGATTTGCCTTCTGATTTTACTTAAGTTTAAGAAAACACTTGACAAACGTAGAATTATGTAGTTATGGTTGTGTACTTGACTCTACCTTAGCCTAGATCTAGGTGAATAAGCGTGACTTCGTCCGCTGTGGTGAGGATCAATAGCTTATTCCCCACGGTCTCCCGGCTCTCCCCTTGCTGCGGATAAATAAGGAAGCGTTGGGGAAGTTTAATGTTCAAGTTTTTCAATCCCAATATTATCTCAACATTCTTTAACTTTCTTTTTTTCTTTCTGTACATCTTTCACAATGGAATGCGTTTGTTAAATTTCCCTCGCCCGAAATTGGCCGTGTCATTCAGAGAACTGTGGCAGGGACAGGGAGAGCGGCCAGAACAGGAAAAGGAACAAGGGCTCAATTGCCTATCAGCGTTGCAATTAAAATCAAATGTGTGTGGATAACCAGGAAACAGGAACCTGCCAGCCAGCACAGCTGAGCAGAGCTCTTTGACATTTCACATTTGACAAATACTTAACACTATTTGCCAGACTTAATAAACCCGACTTCGTTGACTTTAGCACCGCAAACGATGAGGGCTGGAGGTGCATAGGAGAGGTACGGCAATGATTGATTGCACGTTAAAGCCGGAGAGCATCCCATCCCATCATTTCCTTTTTACACTTGACAGGAAATGCATTTTTAGTTGGCGCTGGCGAAATGAGCATCAGTGTGGTGTGATGTGGTGTGGTGTGGCGTGGTGTGGTGTTGTGTGGTGTGTGCTGGCCGGAAGGGTGAAACGGATGAGGATAAGTCACGCGATGGCGTGGAGATACGAGATAGAGATAGAGAGAGAGAGGAAAAGGAAGATTGTGCAAAACGAAATCACAGCTAGTGGGCGCCATAGGTAACTGAAGGGCTGTTGGGGCAGACAGAAATGCAAATGCCAATGCCTGTCCATGTGGCAGGGCTAGTCAGTGCACACTTCATGCCAGGTTTGTGCACACAATTTACAGAAGAATCGCACGAATACTCGCACATAAACATTTTGTGGGTGTGTTGGTGCTGCGTTCGGCCATTGAGCAAGCCATGCGAATGGAAAGGAAGCGGAGGTGCTGGGCCCGACTGAGTCCTTGGGTTAAAAGTTTCCCAACTCGCACTCGCCTTTAACTTGAAAAATCGAAAACGAAAAACTTTTCGGCCAATCAAGCAGGAACTGTGGCAACATCTGATGCCAATTAAGGGGGGGAATATCTGCTGGCATCGGTAGACAGTGTTGGCTTATCGATCAAAATTAGTGAACCCCCGCCGAACCCCAAGCGTATAATCACCTTTCCGCATTCTATGAATGAAGTACACGCACACACACACACACACACATCCCACCCCCCTTAGACCCCGCTGGCTAAGACAAACGACCCGAAGCTAATCGCTGGCAAGCCCCCAGCCCACACTCCCCCGCAGCTGACGCCACGCCGCTGTTACGCTTTTGTTTGACGCCAAGATGCCGACAATGACAACAAATGTCGCCCCAGCTCCATTAATCCATCAAAATTGGCGGCGTTGAAACTGAAATCCAAATATGCGCCGCGGGTCGCGACAAGCGCTTGGGGCGCTGACGTTAAAGATTCTGTTCTTAGCTAAAGCTATCGAAAACAACAACAATAACAAAGAGAAGGAAGTATAGATGGGAAATACCAGCAAGTTTCCTTCGTTTAGTGGAAGGTGAATTTACTTGCAAGGTGACGTTCTCCGCTGCGGGGAGGAGCAATAACTTATTCACCACGCACAGAGAGACAACAGCTAGATGTGCCTTGGTGTAGCAGAGAAAAGAACCGTGTTGAACTGGTGCTGGCATAATTATAGATTTCAATTAATTTCCATGCAGTAGATCTTTAAAACAACTCAAGAACTCCCGGTAATGCCACATATATTTGATGGCTTTGGGCACAAGACAAAACCGAAACCCCTTTCGAAGTTAACCACATTTTCCTTCGGTTGTGCAAATAAAGAAATTAATCAATTTAACGACCCGATTAGTGGGGGGAGTCTCGCGTGGCATCGACGGACGGACGTGGCAGTTGTCTAGGTTGAGGCAAACAAAAAAATTGACTACGAGTCTGCCGCACGCTTCTCGGTGATTTATTTCCATTGATTTTTTCTCAGTTCTCCATTTCGCCTTTCGTCTGCTGTCGCTGGCCGAGCTTAAAGATTATGCAATCAATTGCCATAGCTATGGGAGAACCCAGTCCAAGTTGACGGCTGGATTTGTGGCCCATTGACAACGAGTGTACAATGTGACGCCTACAACGTCAACTGGCTGGCTAATTATAAAGTTGCTAAGCGGATTTTGTTGAAAAAATGCCAAGAAGGGAGCCAACCCCACTACCCCGAACAATTCATTCATTAAGCTTGAGTCGCTTGAGTTGCTCCAAGATGCAAACTAATCAACATAAATTGCATTGGGATGAGCCGAGGGGTGGGACCCGGCAGCTAATTGCAATGGGAGATGTCAGATGCAAAGAGTTCAACAGCAAAGCTCAAAGCAACACTCGAGGGCTGTATGCCTGAATTCAATTCAAATTAAATTCAAGCCATATTAGCCCTGTATCCCAAATTGAACTAATAAACTCTTCAGCAGCACAATGTCTCTCAGTCGAGCACACAGGAGCCACATATAGTAGGAGTAGCTATGGATGCGACACCGCGAAGAAAAAAGCGTTACTCTAGGGCTTGAGCTAGGAGCCGTAGCCACCCAACCGCCAGTCCGCCAGTCCGCCAGCCCGCCCGCCTCGCATATTGTTTGCCCCACCCGCATCCCCAGCAGAGCGCGCTATTTGCCGCGCGGAATATTTTAATTAAAAGCAATTTCTACAATGTCAAACAACGTCAACGCACAACGCAACAGAACAGAGCAGAGCATAAAGTGTTTTTCATAGCCATAAACTGAGGGGGGAAGCGAGAGAGCAAGGTTGCAAGCAGGATGCTGCTGCTGCTGCTGCTGCTGCTGGCTGCCGATGTTTAAGTGTCAACAAGTTGATGATGTAGGTGTCGTTGGCATGTTGGCTGCCACGGCCGTATAGCGTCAAGAACGGCAGCCTTGGTGCAGAGACAAAGGCCAATCAATATGCAAAGCAGTCAATATTTGAAGCGGAGAAAGGTGCTAGGTGCTGGGTGCAGGGAGCTGGTGCCAGTGCAGTGATTATCTGCCACACTTGACGATTGTCGGAGGCGTCGACGGCCCTAAACTGCCATTGTTTGACTATTTGCGAAACAAGGCAGGAAGGCAGCCAGGCAGCCAGGCAGGCAGGGTCAGTCACTGGCAAAGGCTAACGGCTGCAGCTCCCACACACACGAACGAGTGCGGAAGCTTTCGAGTGACAGAGCAGCCAAGTGCAAGGGCTCTGGGAGCTTTTTAGGCATAAACAAGGGCGTCCGGAGGAGTCTGCACTTACCATGCCAACGACATTGTCTGAATGGGGAGTGACTCCTGGCAGCAGACACAAATGCAATCAATTCTTACAACTATTGTTGTGCACGTGTGTGGGTGTGTGTGGGTGTGTGTGGGTGTGTTCGTGTGTGCCAGACACTCAAAACAATCAGGGCTCAAAAACAGCATGAATGATGTGCCAGATGACGACGCATGCAGTGTGCTCCTGTACCTGTCCCTGTCCTCACTCCACTCTACTTATATCCTTCCGTTTCCACTTCCACTTCCACTCCAGGTTCAGGTTGCACTTTTTGCCAGCACTTAAGCGC